GTCGATGCCTCATGTACGTGTTTCGTCCTGCTATAGGAGCATTTGCTTCGAAATCTACATCCCATTCAACCTCTGTCTCTTCGCATCCCCATTCCCATGCTCATCCACCGCCATTCCACTACCATTCGTCTGTAAATCTGTCAGCGGAGCTCTATTCGCTTCCGGCATCGGCCTCTTCATCATCGTAGGTGGTTTATAACTGTTCCTATTTCCCATATTCATCGGACTCGGGCTACCAGGCGCACCAATTCTTCTCGTGGTATCTAATTGTGAATTTCCCAAATTTATATTCCTGTTTCCAGCGACAACTGGACGAGAAGCTGGCTGAGCTTGTGGTGGACCAGTAGTAGGAACTTGAGCCTGAGACGCAGGAACGGGTTTCAAGTCGCGGGATAGTGGTTTTGAGGACTTCTGGTCAACGCCTGGTGTACGCCGAATAGATGGTGATTCGAGGTTGGGGTTGAAGGCAGGGAGGTTGAGGTTCGCGGGGGGGCTTGGGAGGGTGTGTGTTCTTGAGGAAGGAGAGATGCAGCGCGAGCAGAGGTAAAACCAGCTCCTGGTGGAGGCATTTCATCGGTTATGTCATTGGTGCGAGATGGAGATGGGGGACCGGATGCTGTTTGGGGTTGAGGTTGAGGTCTATTGGGTTGGTTTAAAACGCGGCCAGGGAACGCGTTAACAAGATTAGCAGGACGATTGGGTTGGACTAGATCTTGAGGAGCCCGAGTATTAGGTCCTGCTGCGCTGATCGATCTTGCGAGACCTGCATTGGGTGTTCGTGGTGCCGGTGGAGGATGATTATTGCGAGTGATCATTGGGTCACCAGCTTCTGGTGGTCGATTTGGTTGAACTAACGGTCCACTCTTGATCATGGGAACTGGAGGTCCCGAGGGCCCAGAAGTTCGGCTTTGGTTTGGTAGCCCTGTATTTCCCGAGGGCACATTGTTACTGTTTCTGGCATTGTTGAGATGGTGTGAAGCAACCCGTGGGGGAGGAAGTGCAACTTCATCTGGGTGAGCATTCGGATCTGCAACGTTGAAGTCGGCATCGTCAAAGTCTGGAAATCATCAGCAATGTTTTACTTTATGTAATTAGTATCCTTCATACCTCCGAACTCATCATCTCCTATCAATGTGTCATCGCCTAATTCGATCGTTAGTTGTATATTTTGCCACCACATTTTCAAAACATACCTGATAAGCTTGTACTCGCCGGTCCAGGACCCTGAGCCTTTTCCGCGACCTTTGGTGCATCAATCTCTTTCTTCGCGACTATTTGTGGAGTAAACGTCGAATGTCTGTGTAGATTCTCGACGTCCCACTTGACAGGCTGGACCTTAATCTTCGTAACCTTGGCCAGATAATCCTTATCATAGATGCAATTACCCAACACATTCCCAAAATTTCTCAATGCCCTCTTCAACCCATCTGTCGTCCCCTCTTTCTTCGCCTTCTCAAAGGCCGCCGCCTTGCCCTTACAGTTCTCGATATGTCCATACCCACATCTTCATGGAAAGTGCCATCCTTCAACGTAACTCTAACAATGACCGAGAGTCCTAAACTAACTTTTAAAGTTGTAGCATTTTCGTCCACAAAGTCTACTTGTGTCTCGATGATCTGGCTCGACCAGCCATTGAATCCGAAAACCTCGTTGGCAAGCTGAATACATTTCTCCGCTGCGATATAATGCACCTTATTTCCCGACGGTCCTGCTCGCGATGATATATATTCGGGTCCTAGTTGTTTCTCTAGTCTACTTTGTAATGTAGCAATCTCTTGTGCTGTGTATTCTGATATGCGCGGTTTGACCTCTTCGAATGGGTTCGCGATCGCTCGTCCACTGTGCTGTTCGCCTGGACTGAGGATTGTTAGTTGCTGTGTCGAGAAACTCAATCAAAGATACGTACGCAGGCATTTTGATGATTAAAGCTCAGCAATCGTTTACTTGTCAAACTTCATAGGGGCTAGAAGGTAGATTAACTATGGTATTATGTCGCGACAAAATTGATGGTGTATTGTATTGTTGATGATGGCGATGGAGCTCAAAGTCGCGTCATACATCTTTGATACACGCTAAATCCACGGTATCACGTGTAGATAAATGCACCGGTCGGCAATTGGCTCTCACGGTCATATCAGATGATAAAAAGGCGGGACTTCAGATTGTTATGGTATTGTATGATCTCAAAATACTGACCATTCTCCCTATGTTACTAAAGTGAAAATGACAAATGAATTACGCCTATTGAATTATTGCCACCACCAAAGTATCCTCCACAAATGTACAAATGAAAAAACCTATCCCTCAAGTACCATAACTCCCCAACCATGCTTCCCGATGGACAGTGAAAGGAAATTGGGAATCTTCGTAATCTTCGTGATTATTGCCGTTTGTCGATGACCATGATTAACACAAGACGCCTGTGCGGTAAAATTCCCTCTAATGCCCCTAAGACTCATCGATCAATTGATATGACCTCCTCTATCCCATATGTACGAACACTCCTAGTATCAAAATGACCCGAACCAAGAAAATATGATTTGAGTCTACCAGCGAGCTCCTACTGGTACACTCTGATTAGCACCATAGCGACCTGAAAGGAGTTGATTGCGGATAGAATCTGGATCTCCAGAGCTACCTCCCATCCAACCAAGGTTTGTACCAAGTGCATCGACTGCCATCTGCATCTTTCCTCCACTCTGATCATTATGCCTAGCAAGTGTTTGGTCCCATCCACCAGAATGAAGCTGAAACCCTCCCCCACGCTTAGAGGCTTCACTGATCACCAAAGCCCAAGCCCTTGAAATTTCATCGTACGCATTGTCCTTGTGATGTTTATGAGACTGACTGTCCCAGTTCGGAAGACCATGAACAATTTCGGTGGCACTATCGAGGAAGCTGAGAGAAGTAGCGGTTTGTTGTTCGTTCGGTGGGAGGTAATGCGGTGTGAAATCGACCAAGGCATCAATAAGATTTGTGAGCTGTTGCTTAACTCGATCGTAGGCATAATCGGATCCAGGACTGCCACCGTAAGGAAAAGCTTCCCGTAATTCGTTTTGGTATTTGTGAAGGACGCCAAGAGTGGATTCTACAGATGGTCTTGGTGCTGAAGTGACAATTTCCGAGCCGATCTCTGGGTGTCTTTCGCAGATAGTTTGAAGAACCGCTCTCAACGACTGAGCATCTAGGGTTTCGAGAAGACGAGGGAGGTTGAGAGGTCGGCCGGTAATTTCGTTAGCTCGAACTTTCTTGGAGGGTCGGGGGATTTGTCGTGCGGCCAGGGCGGGGCTATTTGTAGGAGAAATAGACATTTTATCATCGAGTCCATCGTCATCGGCTTTTCGTTTTCGACTGCCCATTCTGAGGTTTGTGTGCGGAGAGACTGTAATTCGTTGTCAGTATTAAATGTGAGAATGGTCGCAAAAGGGGGGGTTCCTTACCTGGAGTGTGAATGGGGTTACGGTGAGGTGATGAAAAGAACGACGCTTGAGTTGGAAGCAAAACGTTCATCTTCGCCGTAGAAAAATAGTGATACAATTTTGCTTCCAGTCTGAGTAGCACTCTAGTTACTGGCTTTTTCGAGAAGAATATTTGATGTATGAAAGACAAAAATTGCTTTCTTGAAGATGTAAGAAAGTAATCGAGGTCTGTTGTTAATGGATTCGGGTAACCAAGACTACCAAAGAGGCGCTATAATAGCTCCGACGCTAACACAATTACACAGCAGCAAAAATGAAGTGTTCCCGGTGTCAGCACAACATATAAAAAATACCTCTTGTATAAAAAAGTGTGATTATGAATGTTCCAAGGTTTAAGATTTGCATTGTGTTTGAGTAAAATGTTGCATTATCACGTTATATTTACAAGATGTTTTATATAAACCTACCAGGTGGGTACGCTCACAAAGAGCCGTACTAAGCTGGCTAGTATCGATCCTAGTATCTACTAGAAGTTTAACTACCTACTCGGGTTCTTCTTCGTTCATCCATCCTATTCCAATTTCGATCACAAAAAAGAAAAAGTCTTCATAAAGGAGCAGACGAGAGGGATACTCGAGAGAACCTGGAAGTTAAGCCTGCCATTCACACGTGCTGTGCAACCATTCGTCCCCACAAAATGGGCTGCAAAAAGCTGCAAGCAAGCAAGCATTTTGATCCGATATTACTCCATCCTTTATTAGTGGTGCTTCTACCGTTCGCTCTATTGGTATGCCTACTAGGGAGGTAAGGTTAGGAATGAACTTGTTGCACATGGTGGCTACAGTATGTACCGGTTTCTACAATATGAAATTTCGATCTATTCTAGAATTATCAGCTTCCTTCGAGTTCCTACTAATGGGATCATCACCTGTTAGTGCACAGAGTAAGATCTGCGGTACGGTATCTACTAATTTTGGGTCGATGACCACTCCTCCTGAATCATCTAATTCCATATAAGGTTATCTAATAGATTCATTAGCCACCACTGCTAGGTAGAATCAACAGCATGGGCTCTACGCTCTTTTGTGGCTGATGAAAACCCTCATGTTGAAGATGTACGATGTACAACTTATGAGGATATTAGAAGACATATTCACCAACCGATGGATTCAATTTCTGTGATTTCTGACAGGGTCATTGTTAGCTAGATGGTGTATTTGCCACCCTTTCGATTTACGGCTAGGCGGGAAAGGAGAGGCCGAAAACACTCATCTGAGTGGGTCTCCTAGGACCTAGGTATACTTGAAATTCCTAAACATAAATCACTTCATTCGTCACTTCTTCACCAACGTTACATGCATTGGGAGCAACCGGCGAGAGATGCGGTATAAGACGCACTCAGAAATGCACGAGAGAAAAAGACAAGAAGCATCGGGTCTAAAAGGTGCAGTAGTTGGCATTCTTTGCAAAAACTCTGTCTGCAAGGTTTTTGTAAATGCTATATACTGCTTCACAGTCCAGTGTCGCCTCTAAAGACAGACATATTCAGAATTTGGGAATATGCAACGTAGAGTCTGGAAACTAGAAGCTCGAGATACTAATCAGAGGAGATAGTAGCTCATTGTGCTTATATCCCGTTCCAAAATCTTGTTCGTGCAAATTCATCTCTCCTTCACGAACTATCTTCTCGACCTTCTTGATCAAGTCCTGAAATACGACCTCCTCGTAGCTAGGAGACCAGAAGTGTAACACCACGCTTACAACCAGTGCGATTGTGACACCAGCAGGTATTACAGCCGCCGCCATACCCAAAGCTTCACTCAGACTCGGATATCGAAAAAGTTGAAATACAACAACACAGATGATGAAAAGAAAGATCGTATACTGTTGATAGGAGTGATGTGAATTCGCTCTGTACATTGACATAGAGCATATGCCGTACATGAGGACCACGTAAACAAAAGTTGTGGAGCTTGGATGATCGATACTTGGGAACCCTGTGAGATTGCGCTAGTATAGTGTGGGAATTTAGCAAGCGAACAACGTAAGTAACGGAACGACACAAAATAGACTTATGTTCTTACATGCAATATCGTCCCCTTCATCGTTGGTAATGAGGCCTGTACGATGTATCTCGACAATGCATACGACGAAACGATCAGTCCGGGTACTGCGCAAAGATTGATGCATATTCGATTCCTTCGATGATTGCTCTGCAATGCTGGAGTTCGGTAGGAACGCACAATTTGCCGGTGGTCGATATTGCATTTTGCATGTGTCGACGTATCGTGCCAACGGGCTTCGTTGTCTGCAAACCAATGTTTCTTCGTCGCAATAACTCTATAGACAGAACTTTGCAAATTATCCTTTTCTCCTTCCTGGTTTCCGCAGAGTTCATTTCTCCAGACGTTGATGAGCCTGATCAGGTCAGCAAAACGATTTCGTGGGTGTTTTCTGGCGATTAATGGAAAGCCATCGTTCCCAACGAAAACTTTCCCTGTGGAAGATGGATAGGTTCTTCCAATTTGAATGTATTGTGTGACCTCTTCGGTTGGTAGCAAGGCAGCTTTCCACAGGGATTTATAGGGGTTTTCAGTATGAGGGTATTGTAGGAGCTTTCCAGTTGAAAGCAAGGCAGTGTTTCCTATGAGGCCAGTACAGCTTCTTGTAGCATGAAGGTACCGAAGGAACTCTTCGGTTGGTAAAAAGGCAGTGCTTCCCATGAGGGTAATACAGTTTCTTTCAGTATCACCCTTAACAAGTGCAATGTGGATTCTGCTATATTGTTTTATTCTTTGTCTTGTGTTGTCAAAGTTAGCCATACCTCCTTTCGCATAAGAAATGGGTGTATGATCATGCGAGTGATGATATTCCTCTCCCTTCGAAGGCCAGCTATCACGACTTTGAATAAATATAACGACACGGCGCGATTTCAGGCAGGCAGTAGTGACGTCGCTGTTGCTCTTCTGGATAGCGAGCTGGGTAGGCTCCGTCCAAAACATCATGAACCCCAGGCCCATTCCCCCAAAATCTGGACACGATGCCTGACAATCTATGTTTGTCGATGGCAAATTGGTGAAGAGGCTCGACAAAATTGTGAATCGTTCTGAGAAGCAGTCTGCACGAACCAAATCAGTGTACACTCTTCACATTCTGTATATTCTCCCTATTGTCATTCTGCGGATGATAATTCCACGTACCAATATTCGATAACTTGCAAGGAAGAATCTTTGAGGATATCCTGATTCTACGATAGCTGGATTGTAAATCGATGCGAGAGGGTTCGAACGACTTGATAAGTTGATTACATATGATAAGGCTTGCTCAGCCTCAATGTTACCCTACCCAATCTAGTCGTTACCTCCAAAGATGCTGCCCACATTACTGACAAAACGCTCACCTCTCGCACCGGGTATATCTTCTTTCCACTATCATCTCCTTCACGCAGCATATAACCAGCTCACTCCATTGCTGCCAGTCTATTATTCATCATTTCATCAACTGCGTGACGAATCACTATATTATTAACAGCGGAATAGCCTCAAGCTCTTGCTAAACTGCCACGGCTGGATTTGGAGTCAAGGAAGACAACACACCCATCCACATCGGTATGCTTAGCATTCTACCAAATGCGTATACAAATCATCCAGGTATAGAGCTGATTGAGATTAGAAATGAACCGTACTAAACAAGACGTCGGCGATCCGTTAATACAACATTTACGAAGAAACACCAAGACAACGAAAACATGGGCTTGCATCTACTGTCCGGATAGGGCAATACTCCTTTCGAAATCTGATTTGTGGATGCATGCACAAAACAATCACCAGGACAAGCTCCCAAGCACACCAGAAAAGTCCAAACAATTCCGTAAATCATGCGAAGTGAATTCTGTCTTGAAATATCCCACAAGATTATGCGAAAAAGGGCATCTACACGATGAAGCAACAACAGAAGGTCGGTCAAACAAGAGGACAGCTGAAGGGGGTGGTATACCAGTCGATTTAGTATCACCGTTCCGTGAAGACTTGGAGATTCCTCCGCCTCCGCCTCGAAAATATCGTGCCAAACAGCGCCATGATAATGAAAGTCCCCACAGTGGGCCACGATTCCCGTTCGAAGAGGATAAATTCTATTCTCAGCGAGAAACAAGACCTATAACACAAGAAGAGCTCGTAGCAGAAGTCAAAGGTTTTTATGCTAATCTCGTAATGGTCGAAGCCAAGCCCATCGAGGTTGATGAAGGGCCGTGGCAAGCTCTCATTAAAATGCTTCATACTTTATCTGAACAGCCTCTTAGCTTCTTTAGAGGCTGTCATCGTTTTCCTGATATTCCTAATTTACGTAGACTAGCATCAGAATTTGCTATACCTGCTGAAGTGTGGCAGCGTGGTACATCTTCCTTGCTCAAGTTCATCGGAAATATGCCACCTATCCCATATGATACAACGCTTGTGTTGGAATTCATGACACTTTTCACCATGGCTAAAGAGTATGACCTGTTTGAAGATTTGGGTTCCAGCCCTGGTGACGAAGAGGAACACCATGAGCTGTCACTTAGCCTCAAAGAACGAAAAGAACGAACACCATGTAGAGCTCGTGAAATTCTTCCCAACAAGATTTGGAGCCACAATCTATCATCGCCCCGAAATAAACCAACGAATGAATCCACGAAACATCGCGACAATGAGGTTCACAATGCTAAGCTAAAAACACACTCAGGTCGAGCAAGGAGTAAGGAACCATCGCCAAAAGGTCTTCTCCTGACACTCACCAGCCTCCTGGGTACTTTGCTCGCCGCTCTTGGCCATAAAAAAGGACTTTTTACAAGTCTCCTCATGGCAAGCGTTGTCAGCGACGTATCGGGTAGGGCAATACCGCCCGAGAATAGCGAGACAACGATATCGCCGACATTTTCTAGCGATTCAAACCCATTCCAAAGCCTGATAGACAAGAACAAACTCTTGTTGGATTGGAGTTACGAAGCAGGTACCGCAATGTTTTTAATTATCGCATGCGCGCTTATCCGAAGATACTTTTGCAAAGAAGAGCAGAATCGACTTCTGAGCGCTACATGTATGGCTGCTTCAACATCTCTCTTCGCATATCTCCGCGATCGCGAAGATATAACGGGTGGGGTCCTCGCAGGGTATGTTGTTGGTAAAGAGTTTCTCTTGAATATTGTATAGCTGACTTGTGTTTGCCTCCAGTGTATCTTTTGCGGGAGCTGTCTTTACTTGGAACACATTTTCTATGGGGGTCAAGAAATATAATTTTGGTGCCCCGTATGTTCCTCCTGTTCTCCTCAATGTTCGTGGCTAATTTTTCCAAAGCTATATCATCTTTGGCATGATTCTTGGGATGGCAATTCTTTGGAGAGGATATCCGTACATACAGCCTTTTATCGGCTCTGTAAAGATTGATGTATTCATCTTACCATCCATCACATGTTCGTTTTCGATACTAGAGATGGTAGTGAAAATTCATGACGATATAATCCGCTGGATTAGACGGTAAAAATCCCATCATCCACCCATCACGGTTCGAATACTCGACAAATGGTTCCCCAGATTTCTGTAAAAGATGGCATTCTCAAATGTACGTCATGGAATCGAGGCATATCATGATACGCTACTTTGCTTTTCGTCACAGTGTGGTCGTGGGTTCAGGAGGTCATTTAGCTTATCCAGCTCGTACCACTGTAGCGACTTCGTTACTGCCTATCCACGATCTGATCACCTTCCCCTCTGAGTCTGAATCAAACGTATATGCCTCATACGGCATTGATTTTTCGCACCTGGCTCGAGGATATGGAAAATAAATGGCAAGCATGGTGGATTGGCGATGGGAAGGAAAGCCCCTCTGCTTGAGCGCCGGAAGCAAATACATTGTATAAAATCTAATCACAAACATAACAAAAATATATAGAAGCAACAAGTTGTACCATCATCGCACTGTAAGTATCCCCATAGTGACTTGTCATTCTCCAAACCAAATTTAAGCATATTACCAGCTACCAAAAACAACATTATGAAACATCACCTCGCTACTCCTCAGCCCTCTGTCCCCTTCCTCCAGAATCGAACCATCGCCTCTCACAGCTACCGACACCCGCAGCGAGAATTCTCGTGCGAGCCACCACCAGAAAAACTCGAAATCTTCCCCACAACACCCAAGTAACCACCCCAAACCACTTCCGAGAATTCCTAAAATCTCAAATAGACGAGAAGACTTCATTCCCGTATCCTCATTCCTCTTCCCTCTCCCTTCCCCCTTCTCCCACCAAACCATCAATTCAAATCTACGCACCCAGAACTTCAAGCCCTCGCATCGAAATCACACACAACCATCCACATCTTTTATTTTTTTTATTTTTTTTACCTACCCTCACACACACTCATACCCTCAAAAGACAAACGCAACATATTATTAACCCTTCAAATCCATCCCGATCCCGATTCCCATCACAACCAAACCCGCAACCTCCTCCGCAACAACCCAGTCATTCACTCCTCACCCCATACTCCCCTACCCCTTCTCTGCCATCAACACACAAACCTAACCCACTCTCCGTTTCTCACCCCCGACTCCATACCTTCCCCATTCCTATACCGAAATTTACCCTAACAAACACATCAAAACACCATAGATACCGCATAGCTTCCGATCTTCTATAATATCATAGATTCACAGTATACATATGGTTCATTTCCAAGTTTCTAAAACTAAATCTTATTAATGTGAGGGCCCTGAGGTATCTTAGGGAGAGCCTCGCTAGCGAGATTTACTAAGACTTGATTATTCTACTTGTTCGTCTCTGTATCACTCAATTGTAGATTTGAATCTAATATTGCATGGCCATTATTGGAACTGTGATCTCTAGGTGCCGAAAGAACTAGGACATCATGGGTGGGGAGATCTAAGAAGATACAGTTCACAAGGGGAGAAGGTTTCACGGTCAAGATGCAACATAGTGTTCCGCTGGTATATTTGGTATTCGATGTATCTTTGAAAATGCTATAAAAGTTCCTTTGGGAGTCTTCGCTGTGCCAGGGAGCCTCCCTTATTCATTCTCCAAACTCCTCGTTAAAATGCATTTACAATTAATATATCGCTACCTTGCCACATTTATCCTACATTCGCTTTGATGCCAAGCTCTTGTTGAGTCTGGCCTGAATGGCTTCTTGTTGCGGATTCTGACGATTGCGGACTGGGGACAAGACTGTTCTACTGACAGTACTCTCATTCTTCTGGGGGAAGGTGTGAAAACTGGCGCAGTAGCCTTCAGCACATCATCGCTATCTGTATCGACAGGTCTTCCATTCAACATGGTGGATCTGGAAGGAAACGGGCGAGACGGTGTGATAGCTACGGCGCTCTGAGGAGAAAACAATCTGTTATCTTGTGGCATGCTCGATGTCAACTGACTGTAGCTCGTCGTGGGAGTTGATTGTCCAGTACGAGATGAGCTTTTCAAAGCAGGAGCCTGGCTTGCCCATCTAGACGTTGATAATCCACTCGCGCGCTTCTTTTGGAGAAGCTCTTCAACTGTAGGGCTAGTACTGCGCTCTGGAACCGGTGAAACGTCGGCCACTGTGCCATTATCCTTTTCAGCCTTAAAGTCCAAATCACTAAAAACTTGGGCGAGTCTGTCGACGTCTGAGTTTGTCACAGTATGCTTACTTCTAAGAGTACCCTGTTCCACTACCTTTGGTAAGTTCATCTCATTTTTCATGACCTTGGCGAGAGTATTTGGATTAGTCTCTTGAGACTTAGACTTTTCAGTTTCGGAGGCGGAAGCAAGACCTTTAGGTTCATTCTTGGAAACCTCGGAGCTTTCAATGTTGGTCAAAGTTTCTCGTGGCTTAAGGGGTAGAGATTCTTGTTTCTTAACAACTTGACGTGCAGTAGGGTTGTAACCAGATGAAGCACGAAGAACGGTTGCTTGATTAATGACATCTGGCCTAGCGTACCTAAAAGTGCTCAGACCTCTGTTTGATCGAAGCTTGGGAGGACTATCGCCGCTTCTAGAGTCCATCTTGTCTTCTGATTTGTTCTCATCGGCCGCGGACAAACTCTTGGATAAATTAAGAGTAGCGGATTGAGGAGCGATGGGGCATTTTCCACTAGACTTATCAGAGTTATCCTGGTGATGAGCATCAAATGATGGCATTTTGACATCATTTTCAGCAGAAATAGACAGAGACAAATCATTTTCGATGCTTTCAATGTTATCGCCTGCGGAGGAGAGGCTCTTGCTGACGTTGATTGGTGTTTCATGCTGTACACTGGAAGACTCTGGAGGATTGGAGGCGCCTGATGAGGCTACAAAGCTGGTCTTTCCTGGTGCATGCTCATCTTGTCGAAAAGTCTGTGAAACTTCTTCAAAGCTGAGTTTGCTGCTGAAATTAGTTTTCAATTCAGAAGGTTGGAGTTTTGTAGCAGTGGCTCTGGGGGAGTTCTTGTATTGTAGCTTATGCCCAGAGAGGTACTTTTCGAGACAATGTTTTGCAGCGAGTACTTCACTGGTCAAGGTGGCATTTGGTCGCATCTTCATCATCTCCTGGATCGAATAAGCCACTCGCTTGGGTCTGGGAATAACATTCATGATAACTGCAGCAGGCTTGGCAGCTTGCGTAGGGCTGATAGTTTCGGTGGGTTTGGTAGCTTCAACAATTTGAAGAGGCTCCACAGGCTTGACAGTATCAACAATTTCAGAGACTTCAGTCAATTCGACAGCCTGGACAGAACTAGATTTCTCAGCGGGGATAGCAGTCGCCGATTGAGTACCGTTATGGAAATTTTGAGCCATGTCGAGAATTTTCTTGGCGATCTCCTTGATGTAGGCGTCAATAAACTCCTGAGGAAATCGTAACAATGTTTCAGATCTTGTTAAGAAGTCCGAAACAAGTCCTTCGGTGACTGACAAGATAGGCTTTGAGCTTGAATAACGAGAGGATGACAGTCCGCCAATGAAAACATTTTTGGCATGTTTCATGAAATGCGCATCGTTTTCAAGTCCTACGTTCTTGGCCAAGTGAAAAACGTGATCATAAAAAGAACCGCCGTGATTTGCATTCAGAACCTGGAGTGTACCTTCAACAATGTCCCCTTCCATCAAGCTCAAAAGATCCTGGAAGTGGGAATACTCTTCAACTTCATTATCCTCAGCTTTGCATTCCTCTTCATGGAGTGGGACAAGAATCTCTTCGCTATCAATCAAAGTAAGATCAGCAAATGTAGAACTGCTGATTCTGTTCTTAAGATAACTTTTTTCAGCATCGGTCAACTTTTTTTCTGCCGATGATGAAATGGGAGACAAAAGTACGAGTGGACCCTGGCTTTCTTGTTCTGAGGAGTGAGGAGAGTCACCGCTACGTCTCAACTCTGAGAGTCTGAAACTATGATAATTAACAAAACTCTTTGCTATACCAGGCAGCTGAAAATATAACTTCCAGGTGGGTATCTTTTCTGTCGTAGGATTGGCCCGATATGTGACAGTGTTCCCAGGTTTCCCATCCTTCATATCGACTTTGAATATCGCAGCCTCTGACAGTAACTCGTTCAGAATAACCTCGTTGCCAATTTGAACTTCGAGGATTAAAGGAGATTTCTCATCGAGTTTGATGAGTCTTGCAGTTCCGAGTTTGAAAGTACTGTTGTTCTTGCAAACTTTGACAGGTTTCTCAATGACCAAAGTGCAAACAATGACTGGTATGGGGTGGATCATTACATCATCTGTTATTAAAGTCAGGCGGGCGGCAACAGTAGCATGTTGAACAGAATTGGCCAACTCGGAAGCATTTGTTGGGATTGCTGGTGATACCGATCGAACAGAATGGCCAGACTCCGACGTGTTTGCACCAACAATTGGGATGATCTGTTGAGCAGAACAAATCGACATTGAAGCGTTAGAGTTAACGGCAGGTACGACTTGCTGAAGAGATGGGATTGACACTGAGGCGCTTGCAGTATTGGCATGTGTAGCAGATCGACTGAGGTCATCTGATCCAGACATGTCAACAAGTGGAGCTGAAGGCGATGCCCACCGTGAATCCGCAAGGCTACCTTGGGGTGCCAATTTAGAAGCTGATGGTGGTACCAAAAGATCATCATCGACTTTGTTTTGTGGTGCAGAAACAACAGGCTCGGGAGCTGTTGCAACTGGGCTAGAGCCGATATTATTGTGCGAAAGAAAGGTTGCAGGACTCGTGAGCTTGAACCTCGAATTTATAAGTCGATTTGCCAGAGGAGGAGCAGCACGAGCGACTACAGGAGACGCAGCTCGGTGAACTGGCTTTGTAGATTTGGAAGTCGATTGAGGCGCCTTGAAAGAGCGGCCTTCAGTTCGATTCTTTCTGCTGAACTCAGCCTCGCGTTGTAAACGAGCAATTCCAGCATCAACTTTAGCATGTGATTTGCCACTACGTCTTGCGTCGTTGTAGTAAGTTTGGCTGGTGACTTGTTAGTTCAAAACGAACAATTCGTTGTGGCTTTATAATTTGCAGGAAATACATACCCGGAACCAGAATTATCAGTATTTTTACCTCTTGCTGCAAGATTTCCGCGACCACCCCCAGATGCATGACCACCTCTATTTGAAGCTCCACCCCGACCGTGCCCTGCAGAATGGCCACCTCTGCCACTGTTGCTTAGGCCAATACCACCTCTGCGAAGTCGATATAATTGTCCACCGGCAATATCGTCAAGGTCTTCAACGCCAGGATCAGCTTCGTCGAGGTTGAGGTCTAAAAAGACAAGTCAGCATGCAGACAGATCAAGGACAAGGTTTCTGGACATCGAACTTACTATGCCAAGCGGAAGCAGGGTGTTCTGGCCTAACTTGTCTGTTGATGGATGACAATGGTACCATTGGGACGTTGGCAGCTCGATCTTCGAGTGGCAAGGCATCTCTGCGACCAATACCAAGCTCTTCCTGCAAAACAAAAGGATTAGAATGTTGAAGCATATAGCAACACAGTGTGATATAATAAAGGGAACAAGTACGCGAGGGCTTACCATCATAGCTTGCCTGATCGCCTCCATCTCAGCAGCTGATCGTTCTCTTTCCGTCATCTTGAAGATGATAATATGATCTGATACTGCAAGGTAAATTCAAGTTAGGCAGGGTTAACAATAATATACTGTTATTGGCCTCGATCTCGTACGCAAGCATGAATGTTTGGACATACCTTCAACAATGCGCAGGTTGGATGCAATATTTGAATCTGTAGGAAATAAAAAGGTGACGAGATTCTGGGGGAGTTTTTGAGGTCCTTTCTGAATTGAGTATGAGAGAGGTTGTTTGGATTTTTCAAATTACCAGGAAAACAAAACTCGGTAACCAAGTAAGCTAAGATTATCGAGATTATGATTGGCCAAGTTATTGAATGAGGAAGGAAGTGAAGTTGAGACGAAGGTGCAGGGGAAAGAACGAAGGAGAGGAAGGAAAGAATGATGAGTACGAGGGATGGTCAGCTGGGACTGAGCCCACAAAGTCATCAAAGTCATCACAATCTTTTCATTTCGTTGCAGTCTTTGAATATGCGTGAATTTTGTAATCTGCACGAGTCTCTCAAACTGTACGAGTCCCTCAATTCCTTCCAACCTCTATAATCCCTTTTCGTGTCTCTCTTGATTCAACCCAATCTGGGAATTCAATTAAGTCTCCTCATTCATTTCAACCTGAGGTCCTGGATCCATTTGAGTCTTTTGGCCTGCTACAATCTCTCATCTCAATTCACTCAAACCTCCAAGTTCACCCGAATCTCTACTAGTCCTTCTAGAATGCAGGGCTGAATTATGTGAGGTTCGAGAAAATTGTAGATTTACAACTTCATTCTCTCTCCCTTTACTATGATCAAAAATCGCATACGTACTACATTAAAGCAGAATAGAAGTGTAGGAAGTAACAAGAAAATAATGAGAAAATAAAGACAAAAATAACGCATGATATGTGTTATATCTGTTATCCTTTAATTGCCTTTTCTTCTTCTTCTTTTTTCTACACGTTACGGGTCTAATGCTAAGGGTGTCAAAGATACTTCTTTATTTTCGTCTTTCCACAAGCTTTTGTTTTCGTTCCCATACACAACATGACTAAGCCTTGATATACCTGAAAGTCCTTGTGAATCAAAAAATATCATTTCAATTATATGTTAATGCTCATGCTCCTCATAGGGTTGTGTATCTATCCATCCCAATGAGCGAGGAGCAATCGAGATAGACCACTGCTTTGCTTCCATGCTTATGTGCTAGCCACGTCTATAATTGGGCACCAGAGATGGACTACTCTCCTAGACTTTCTCTCGTCTCAAGTACACTCTGAGAGATTATTAAAGCATCCAAAGTGGAGAATGTATGGAAGACATTTGGAAGACAGAATATGCTTGTGACTCTGGTCTGCTGCCGGTTTCTACTTTAAACTCTGTCTTCACTCCCACTCTCTGTAATAAAGTTATAGATTGCTTTATCCTCCACTTCCTATGTTTCAAAATCTAGAACCATACAAGTGACATTCAAGGAAAGGGTTCATGCTTGATGGCCATTGCCTTCTTCATGATTGACTCTGGACAATTTCCACTTTCAGTTCCTTCAATACTTGAAAGGCTGTTGACACGCAAAGAAGGATTGAAAGGGTGGCATAGACATCTCATAGTGCCATTAATGTTGCCATCTGTCTTATTCTTTGCTGGATTGGTGACATAAAACAGGAGAACTACATGGGAAATGCCACATGTGTTTTGGACTCGTGACAATATCCCTGTGATATCTGGCACAAGGAATATAATGATTGTTTGCAAATCTATCTTCGAGAGAGCAAGTACATCTTGAGAAATCAAAGCCTTCGATCACAAGTTTGACATTGTAAAGATGTTACAACAGTGTTTTTGAAGAACAGGAGAGTTGTGAAGGAAACCTTTCGACTTGGGTGAAGTCTAGAGGAAGATTGTGGGGTGAAAACAAAGTTTCAAAGTGCTCGAGCCCCCTCTCGAGCCGCTTTAGTTCTTCAATAGTTCTTCAATGTCTCCCTCAGTTTGAAAATCAAGTCCATTCAAAGCAGCATCCTAGAATTCCACGAATCGGCTACATTCCGAATGTCAGGAAGAATTTCTTATTAGCGATATCGCAATTCTAGATAGAAGAATTCCTGTCTGCCTTTCTGTGAATAGTTTCAATCTCCATCCCCAAAACCGATGAGATTCGCAAATATGAGGTCGTGCGGGCTTCTCAAGAGCAGTGGTCTGGCTATCAGAGTAAATACACATTTGTTTCCTCAGAAATTCATACAATTGACTCATTACATAGAGGACTAATATCCCAACCATTTTAAGACCGATAAGCGGACGAACTTTGGCAACTGTAAATACAAGCACTTCTACATACAAACCTGACATCGAATCCCGAACTCCTCCTTACCCAAAACTTCTCAAACGACTCCATGAGGTTCGAAGAGTATTAGGGTCCTCAAGGAGTTTGACTCTTGCGGAAAAGATCCTATATTCCCATCTCGATAATCCCGAAGAATCACTCTTGACAAATACCGACAATGGACTTAACATCAGAGGAAATGCAAATCTTAAGCTCAAGCCAGATAGAGTTGCTATGCAGGATGCTTCCGCACAAATGGCATTGTTGCAATTCATGACCTGCAAGTTGCCTTCCACAGCTGTCCCAGCCAGTATTCATTGCGACCATATGATTGTTGGACAGAGAGGAGCAGATGTTGATCTTCCAGAGTCGATCAAGGGCAATAAAGAAGTTTTTGATTTCCTGGAATCAGCGGCGAAGAAATATGGTATCGAGTTCTGGCCACCCGGAGCAGGAATCATTCACCAGACTGTGCTGGAAAATTATTCGGCACCTGGTTTGATGATGCTTGGCACAGACAGTCATACTCCAAATGCTGGTGGATTGGGAGCTATCGCTATTGGTGTTGGTGGAGCTGATGCCGTGGATGCAATGGTTGACGCACCATGGGAATTGAAGGCGCCAAAAATTCTGGGAGTAAGACTCGAAGGGCAATTGAGTGGTTGGGCGTCACCTAAGGATGTCATCTTACATCTGGCAGGCAAATTGACTGTCCGTGGTGGAACTGGATATATCATCGAATACCATGGACCGGGAGTTGACTCATTGAGCTGCACCGGAATGGCTACAATATGCAATATGTATGTTCTCTCTTCCTTTTTGAACATCTATTTCACTTCGCTTCTTCATGAGTCATGGCTAACAACATTCATAGGGTTTGTTCTATCCTTTCCCGAATATCTACCTCCTTCTGTATGGTTTATCACTAATGATATTTAGGGCGCCGAGGTCGGTGCTACCACTTCTCTATTTCCATTTTCTAAACGCCACGTCCCATATCTCGAATCAACACACAGATCCTCCATCGCATTACAAGCCCAAACTATCGCAGGAAGTCCTTCGCTCCACAACTTACTGAGAGCTGACGAAGGTGCTCACTACGACGAACTTATCACTATAGACCTATCCACATTAGAACCTCACATCAACGGGCCAGCCACACCTGATCTATCAACCCCATTATCACAATTCGCTAAAGCTGTCAAAGAAAATAACTGGCCAGAGACCGTATCCTCAAGTTTGATTGGTAGCTGCACGAACAGTTCATATCAAGATATGGCACGAGCACAAAATTTGGTTAAACAAGCATCGGCTGCAGGGCTTAAGCCAGCTACTGATTTCTTCATCACACCTGGTAGTGAACAAATTAGAGCGACTTTAGAGCGAGATGAGATTTCATCAACATTTACCGAAGCTGGAGGTATCGTGCTTGCTAATGCTTGTGGGTAAGTTCTATCAATCCTTTTGTCGTACTCGGTGATTTAATTTCCCGTTACATGACTTGTTACCCTGCATTCTACTGTTCAAACAACTCGAAATCTCCAGTTCCACCCGAATTCTCCCCTTGATAGACCGGTACGGAAATTCAAATCTGAATTGGGGAGCAACTTTATCTGGAAGTCCAGCATTTGCGGGCGTTCTAGAATTTGTCGAATCATTCAATTTCATTGAGTGTCTATTCACGTGTCTTATCTCCTTCCCAAGCCGATCCGAATAGATTATTTTATATTATGGTTCTTTCGTGATGAAGTTACTAACTTAATGAAGTCCATGCATTGGCATGTGGAGCAGAACCGATGGAGTTGCTAAGGGTGAACCAAACGCAATTTTCACCTCATACAACCGAAACTTCCGAGGCCGAAACGATGGCAACCCAGATACCATGAATTTCCTCGCTTCACCCGAAATTGTTACAGCCATGTCATACGCTGGAAGCACTTCCTTCAATCCACTCACAGATTCTATCATTACTCCATCTGGCAAAGAATTCCGTTTCGAGCCACCTACTGGTGCTGAACTTCCTCAGGAAGGGTTCGAAGAAGGAAACAAGGAATTTTTGCCATCGTCAGGTTCTCCTGCGCCTGAAACGGAAGTTGTTGTTTCTCCAACCTCGGATCGTCTAGCTCTTTTGGAACCATTCGCTCCATTCCCACAAAGCGATTTGGAAGGACTTCGTGTTCTCTACAAGGTCACCGGAAAGTGTACTACTGACACCATTTCTGCTGCTGGTCCTTGGCTTAAATACAAAGGCCATCTTCCAAATATCTCGGCCAACACACTCATCACAGCTATAAACGCTGCTACGGGTGAAGTGAATGTTGCCTATGATGTGGATGGTAGCACTTCCGGTATCCCAGAACTTGCTCAAAAGTGGAAGGATCAGGGCAAAGAATGGCTCGTTGTCGGAGAAAGCAATTATGGGGAAGGTTCCGCACGTGAACATGCGGCTCTTCAACCCCGATACTTGGGAGGCCGAGTCATTCTCTGCAAGTCATTTGCACGTATCCATGAAACAAACTTGAAGAAGCAAGGTGTTGTGCCTCTTACCTTCGCTGACGGAGAGGATTATGGCAAGATCGACGCACTCGATGAGGTTAGCACGATTGGGTTATATGATATGTTGAAGAATGGCGGAAAGGGTGAAGTTAGTTTGCGGGTTAAGAAGCACGAGTCGGGAGAGGAAATTATTCTCAAGACTAAGCATACTTTCAGTCCTGATCAAGCTGGATTTGTTTTGGCAGGAAGCGCATTGAACTTATTAGCAAATGCAAAGAGGTGATAGGATTGTAGAGCTAAAAAGGAACTGAATCAAAACAAAAGCTAATTACCCCAGAGTTACGTATTAGTTGGTACTTAAGTAGCATGGCTTCCGGTCTTTGAATCCTTATATCAACCTTGAAACTTGAAAGCTGTAAGTCACTTGACATTTCGGAAAGTGTAAATGGGATATCTAACTAGATGTATATCAGTTGCCGAGTAAAATTATGTACTTAGAAAACAGTCAGGTACCGCACGAAGATGGCTATCCCCGTCCCATTTGAGCCTTGGATTCTAGGGCGCCTCTGTTACGTAATAAATTTCCCCGCAATCACCTAAACACCAGCCTGGGATAAAAATCCCGGCCGCCTCCGTATTTACCAATAAAACTTCCGAGGTCTGTTGATTCGGAAAACATCCAATCATATTTTCCATAATCATTTGAACAATTGGAGCCAGTGAAAGAGAGAGAAAAAGAGAAAGAAAAAAAGCTAAAACCTCGTCGCTCTTTTCTTCCTTACATATTGGTGTGTATGTATGGTGTCGGTTCCCGTTTCCTCTCAGCTGCCAAGTGCCTTATCAACTATTTATCAATTTATCATGTCTTCCTCAATGCCAAGGTCAAACGGAAAAGATAACCTAGGAACCATTATCTCTCAAGGGCTCCCTAGCACCATCTTGGCTCCAATTTTAACATCCACGGTATGGAATCAGTTCCACTGAGCTCACGAGTTGCACGATAACAGCTCTGGGCGCCCAGACGCTTGTTGCGTGCTACAACGTTGATATGTTGATATCAATAAAAACGAGTAAAAGGAGATAAAAGGCCCGGTTTTACCCCATACGGTACCCTTGCAAAGTGTGATCGGGGTGGAGTTTTTCTTGGTGAACCGCAAACATGCGAGGTTGCCCGAATCCACTCTGCTTCTATGGTACTTTGAGAATGGGATCTTGGGGGCGGACTTGGCGGGACCGTAATCTTGATTATTATGATTTATTATCAATTTTCGAGTGGTCTTAGTTCTATCAGTGAATAAATAAGCCATCGGGATGGTCATTTATTATACCTAGTGCGTACTAAAAAGTTTTAGGTCGACTATCATACGGCAAATCTAGACGTTGTTAATTCTACCAGGAGCCTCCTAGCGCATACCCGATGCTGTCATATAGATAGTTGAGATCTCCCACCCATTCGTTGATCTTCCTTTAGATTCTTCTGAACATCATCCTTCTACTCTCCTCCTTTCTCCACCTCTTCTTTCCAGACTTTGGCATCTGTCTGTCTTCCTTGCGAAAGGATTTTGATTTCAACAGATATTTCCAAAGATGGCGGCACACATTTCACGAGATTACTCGCCCTCGAGTGCAGAGAAATCAAGTTATCCCATCGAGCACGAACGAGCAGGCATTCAAGATGTCGGTGAAGATAATGATCCAAATCACAATCTTCATCGTGGTTTGAAGTCTCGACAGATTACTATGATAGCAATCGGTGGTGCTATTGGAACTGGATTGATTATTGGAACGTATGTATTTGCTTTCTTTTCAAAGAATCTGTCATTACTTCCTTGCATGATAAGTCTTGCGAGAGGCGTTGCTGACACAATGTTACAGGGGAAAAGCCCTTGCTCAGGCAGGTCCTGCGCCACTCTTGATAGGCTATTCGATTGTTGGGTTACTGTGCTTTTTGGTCATGGCGGCTCTCGGTGAGGTAAGTCGTTTGTGATAGCCTTCTGAAATGAACAAGTGCTGACAACATGAAAGATGGCTGCTTGGTTGCCTTTGGCAAGTGGATTTACCGGTTATGCTACCAGATTTGTTGATCCCGCTCTAGGATTCTGTTTGGGATGGTAATTTTAAAGTCTCCCTATGCTCAACTAGCATATGCTAACAAGCTTTAGGAACTATTGGTTCAAATATATCATCGTCACTCCTAACAATCTTACAGCCGCATCTTTGGTTATACAATATTGGCTACCAAGAGACAAAGTTAATCCCGGTGTCTTCATTGCTATATTCTTGATTGCCATCGTCTCTATCAACTATTTTGGTGTGAAATTCTTTGGAGAATTCGAATTCTGGTTGTCAAGTATCAAAGTTATTGTGATCCTAGGTCTCATCATCTTGAGTTTAGTCCTTGTATGTGGAGGAGGACCGGATCATCAGGCAACTGGATTCAAATACTGGAGTGATCCTGGAGCGTTCCACGAATACATCTTGAGTAAGCAGCTCATGTACTCGAATAGTTGAGGTACAATGCTAACATCATATAGCTGGAAACTCTGGTCGATTTCTCGCCGTCTGGTCTACTTTCACTACTGCCGTCTTCGCCTTCTTAGGTACAGAACTCGTTGGTGTAACAGTAGGAGAAGCTGCCAATCCACGCAAAGTGATTCCAAAAGCTATCAAGCTCACTTTCTACCGAATTCTCCTTTTTTACGTCGTGCTCGTCTTCTTCCTCGGCATGCTCGTCCCATACAATTCCAAACTCCTTCTCGACAGTAACACAAAGAGCAACAGTGCCTCTGCATCGCCATTCGTAGTTGCCATCAAGATCAGCGGCATTCAATTCCTCCCCGCTATCTTCAATGCCTGTATCCTCATCTTCGTCTTCTCAGCGGCAAATTCCGATCTGTACATTGCCTCCCGGACACTTTTCGGTCTTGCCTCCGAGGGAAAAGCTTTCAAAATCTTCAAACGCACCGATAAACGTGGAGTTCCCATTTATGCCCTTGGACTCAGTACTGCATTCTGTCTCCTCGCTTTCTTGGGTGTTAACACAGCTTCCTACACCGTCTTTGGCTACTTTGTCAATCTCGTCACTATGTTCGGTCTCCTCACCTGGATCTCTATCCTCATCTCTCATATCTACTTCGTACGCGCTCGCCGTGCACAAGGAATCCAGAACACCGAATTAGCATACGTAGCACCTCTCGGTATCTATGGCTCCTACGGTGCTCTTGTCTTCTGTATCCTCATTGCCTTTTTCAAGGGATTTGCGCTATTCTGCTACAAGAAGACCGCCAAAGCGGGCACCACACCCGTCTTTGATCACTCAACTTTCATCACGACATATTTGGCTATTCCATTGTACATTATCATGTTCTTCGGATACAAATACTCAATGAAGACGAAGATCTTGAGGCCTGAGGAAGCGGATCTCTTCAGCGGAAAGGCGAGAATTGATGCGCAGGAACAAGAATATTTGGCGCAGGAGGCAGCTAGACGGGGTAGTAATGAGGAAACAAGGTGGGAGCGAATTTATAGGTTAACGCTTGGCTGGGCCTTTTAGATTCTCGGTAAAAAGAGGACAGGAGTTGATTGGAAGTAAAGGGTGGATGTTTAACTATGATTTCCAGATATGGGATATGAAGATAATGAATTTTATGTAGACAGTGCCTAAAAGTATATTCTGTAATATAAACAAAAAGTCTTTATGCGAAAGTCCCAACAATGCGTGTCATTGATAGCTACTGTGAAGAAGAAAACGAAAATTACATCAGGACCACCTCACTAATCTGATAGCACACAAACCGAACTGCCCCCCTTTTCCTTCATTTTCGCATAATCCGAATACAATCCTTATCCTTATCCCTATCCGTACCCACACCAACGCATCTCACAAGGCCAAACCCACCAAATACACACCCCGTATTCGGAAGAAGGCTAAATCAAGTAACCCTGTAAAATCTATCCTCCCCCCCCTTCAGATTCATCCGGATGCTATCACGAGTCCCTATCTACACACATGCTATCCTAGCTGTCTAGCTAGGATCTCCCATCACATGGGATAAAAATCTCTTTGTTGCATATCGCATATCCCAGAATTACAAGGGGAATCCTGACGGGTTTGGGTGGGAGATGGATTGGATAATGTGTCGTGTTGGATGATGGGTAGCTTGATAGGTAGCTTAATAGGTAGCGTGGTGGGATGGGTTGGGTTAGCTCCCTTCCCTACTATCTTCCCTGCTCTATGTCACACGTTGCTTGCATATATTCTTTGGTACTGTTTATTGTACTTAGCCACTCGGGAAACAAGACTTGAATCGTGATTTCCTAACGGGAATTTTGTGTATCCGGAAGACTCGAATTGCGAGGTAACCTTGTACATGTACTGATGTAGTTAATATTCTCGATACGTATTCGCTTCCGCGAGCTCTTCTTCGCTTGCTGCACGTCATTTGTATCGGTATTAACAAGTTACGTCACTAGTTTAATATACTAGCACCTTCCTAAGTTAGAAGATCTTCAAGCAGCCAATTATATCTATCAGAAATTTGGGCTGCATATTGATATTCATGACCTCTTCTGCTTGAGTATATCTGGAGTATAGTAGTCTAATCTTGGACGAATTTTCCCCTTCTTACATGTTCCAGACCGTCTTGAAATTAACCAGCGGACTGGAGCTTGAATAATTTAGATAATCAATCCGATCAAGTTATCCAAGAGAGTGCCAATGTGGAATACGGAAGCGCAAGCGGGCGATGCGGTGATAGAAAGGGTATTTCAAGGATGAGAGGTGAAAGCTGAAATGCTTTGATCATAAACCATCGGTCAAGTCTTGAAGAGAACTTTTCCATTCGTATTAATACCTAATCTAAGGCCCATCACCCTCATAAACCTCGGCCATGAATCCCAGAGCCCTTGACTATGCATCAGACAACATAATCGTAGCGCATGATTCTCCTTCAGACTATTACCCAACGCAACACTCACAACGACAAATTCGCAAATCCAGCAAAAATCCCCACATCCTCTACCTGATCCCTCACTACTCCCGTTTCTTCAATTTTGGTCTTCTCACTCCACTCTCCCCTCACCGTCTGCCTCTCAATATAAACCCTATGCAACACATGCCTCTTCACATCCAAAATGTCAAAACCAAACGCTCCATTTTCTATAGCCATCTTCATGTTTTCCTCTGGAACATCCCTACATGTCTCTTCTGCAACCCGTTCTACGAATCCGTTTGCTTCTTCAAGTGTGGTATATACCCCGGTGACACTGGTTGTTGCGAGAGATTCTGCTGCGACGGGGACTGCGTCGTGGAGCACCATGTAGACGTGTTGTCCTTGGCTTGATTTTTGGGGAGACATGGAGGGGGTGCAGGTTAAGTAGCTCGGTGTTTGTGACGGAGATGGATAGTCAGATTCCGAGATTGAGTAGGCCATGCCGTCAGATTTGGAGGGGGTTGTTGTCATTGAGATGATTGCTTGTGTGAATTTGGAGTTTTCATTCTGCAAGTCGTCTTCGGAATCGCAGGCAGCAAGCACACGGCGGGTCTTCATCCATGTGTCGTTGGCGACATCTCTGGCCAAAGGCTGACCTATCCGATGCCAATCTAATCTCGCTGGGCGATGGAGACCATGGTAGGAAGTCAATGCAGCTGAGGGACGGTTTTCAGATAATGATACTCGGGTTCATTATATGATACTTCGGTGTCTAAAGATGGCAAGTTCTCATCTCCGGTTGGTGCTGCATAAGCTTCGTCATATAATGGGTTCAACTGAGCGCCATCCTTAGGGCCTTGCTCGATCGTATTATACAAATGTGGTAAATTTACTGAATTCCAATCCATCATGATGCCAATTTCGATAACCAAAAATGTATCAAAGAAGTATTATGTTGATGTTTGTGTATGAGTTGTATTTCGTTCGTGGAGGTAGCAGGTTTGAGATGTCATAATATAGCTTTAGCGTCCTTCCTTTATTGGGGTTTTTACTCATGGTCTCGCTATTTCCTTCGATTTGGAAGGTAAATTTTCTTTCCAAGTTGAGTTTTAGCTCAAATTTAGTCCTGGAAATGCTATTCTGATGAATAAAATCAACCGCATACCTTCCAAAAGAACCTCTTTTCCAAATTACAACACTCAATATCTTAGTTTTCAGCGACGAACAAGCTGGTATTAGCACAGTATCAATCACTCGCTAGAACCATGAAACGTGTGGCGAGAAGGATTCTTCCTAAATTCTCTTGCTCGCTCTGGGAACCACGATCAGAGCATACGTTGAACATCTGCGATTAGCAATTTGCCAGGAGGGTTGGATCAATTGAGAGGGTATATATGTAGGCTGGATACTCGTCTAATTTTCACTGATAAACTTCTCGTCAGAAAGTATAGATAACCGTGAGCATGCAGAGAACCCGAGGAGTGGCAGTCATAGCCCAGTTCTATACGAATTAGTCAACGTACGATCATTCCAAGAGACCAAACACTGGAAAACGGAACAAAAACCTAACTTAGGTAGTACACTACAAAACACAACACAAAATCAACTTAGGTAGTCTCTGCTTACTGAAATCGAGTCCTACAGCTAGTATTGAAAACAAATCCATATTGAGAATCCATAGTATTATGGGGAATAAGATTGTATACTGTTGTCTTCACTGGTCCTCGTATTCCTTGTTCCGGTTCGAGAGATTAAAGTCGAAATCACCTATCTTCTTCCTTCCTTCACGTACCCAAAGCTCATTAAGTCCATCAACCGTGCCATAACAATGATCATTGAATTAGACCAATAACGCCAAAGGGTTCATTCGAGTAGAGACCCACTTTTCCATTGCCAGACTAAGGGGCTAGTTGTGTCAAAAACGAACAAATTAACAATGAAGGACAACTTTTCTTGTCAGGTAATTGAGGTCACCCAAATATGAACCCAATTCAAAATCTTGTAGGAGATATTGACTGGCCAAAGCCCGAAATCATTTTGCCGTCGAATTACTCCTCCATATCCTCCACTCCCTCTTCTTCTTGTTTCTCTTCCACCAAGTCTTCATCGCCAGACTCAACACCCCATTCTCGCTGCCTTATCGAGCCCGGTGCTCGTAGACTATGCTTCTGCACATAAAGACTGACTTCTTCCCCTTCACCAGCATCACTACTATGCCACTTCACCAGACCATTACGCTCTGTGACCTCAATGCCCGCTTCTTCAACATCGTCATACAAGTGAATATACTCCCGATTGACAATTTTCTTCAACCCGTTCGTCGCATCTTCAACGGTTGAGAAGACGCCTTCCACAGCTGTATGATCGCCTCCAAAGGAAGTTTCATGCAAAACAACATAGACATATTGCTTGGGTGGGGCATCCGACTTCTTGGCGCGCTTTGTCTCGTGCTCATCGGAAGGTGCGTTTGTAGAGCTTGAAGCTCTTTTGGAAGAAAGTGTGCTGCTGGACATGACTGTGCCTGTATACTTGATTGACGGCGGAGTTGATATTATGCCTCAGTCGGAGAGGGTACAATCAAAGTTTGCAATATTTATCTGGGATGCTCATTGATGCACGGGCCAAAACTCACCTGTCTCACTCAGTAGAAGGCTCATCAGGAGAAGTATTTGTGGAACGTCTTCACCGGGGATACACTTTCTTTGTCAAAATCATCATGCACAGAGTACAAATGTTCATAATTTGCCATCCAATCAGCATGTTCGTATATCGATGTGCTACCAAATGTGGCTAGCGTTGATATGCGGGGTCCCAAAAAGTGCTTCGAAGCTTTGAGCACAACTCAGTGAAAGTTGGGAAGATAAACAATTAATAAAATTGACTCATGAATTGACTCACTATCAACATCACATACGTATTTGAAGTGAGATCTGTAGGTGAAGGAAGTTACTATAAATTATCTTGGGACTCTAACAAAAATCATCCTATTTACATTTCTCTTCTTCCTTCTCTCTCACTGAGCTCTGATTGATCTCCCAACAATTTCTACTCAATTGACATATCTCCTTACTCACCAACAGAATGACTCTCAATTCGCTGCGCCCTGGATCTCGAGCTCTGCAGAGCTTTAGCAGAGCCCAATTGCGATCTTACAGCCATGCATCAACGCCTCTCACCTCACCCTTCGCGCCCCGTCATCTTCTCTCCATTGCAGACCTTACTCCCTCCGAACTTACTACCCTCGTTCGCTCCGCACATTCGCACAAGCTCGCACTGAAGTCTGGCGCCGTTCCTACATCTCTCCTCAACTCATTGGCTGGTAAGGTAATTGCCATGCCCTTCTCTAAACGCAGCACTCGTACGCGTGTCTCTACCGAATCTGCGGTTACCACAATGGGCGGACATCCAATGTTTCTTGGTTCCGGGGATATTCAATTGGGTGTCAATGAATCATTATACGATACCTCAGTCGTTATTTCGAGTATGACTGCAGGTATTGTAGCTAGAGTAGGGCCTCATTCAGATGTTGCTGGTCTGGCAAAGTGGTCGAGTGTACCAGTCATCAATGCTTTGTCTGATGAATACCACCCCTTACAAACTATCGCCGATTACCTCACAATCCACGAAGCATTCCCCTCGCAACCTTCTAGAAGCTCGTCACAAACTACACCAACTTTGGGCTTGGAGGGAATGAAGATTGCTTGGATTGGAGACTCAAATAATGTTCTCTTCGACCTTGCAATTGGAGCAATGAAATTGGGCATCAACATTTCCGTTTCATCGCCAGAGGGTTATAAAATCCCCGAGTATATGCGCAAGATTATCCAATCTGCCGCAACTACAACAGATACTCCAGGAACACTCACAGAGGTTTCCGTGCCAGAGGAAGCTATTAAAAACGCAGATGTATTGGTGACTGATACATGGATATCTATGGGTCAAGAAGAAGAGTCAGCAAAGAGATTGAAGGCATTTGCAGGTTACCAAATCACAGAGGAAATGGCAAAACGAGGCGGCGCTAAGGAAGGATGGAAATTCATGCATTGTCTACCCAGACATCAAGATGAAGTCAACGATGCAGTATTTTACGGCCCCAGAAGCTTAGTCTTCCCAGAGGCCGAAAACAGAGTTTATTCTGCTATTAGTAAGTCCACACGTTACCTTTACTTTATGAATTCTGTACTAATCAAACATAGCTGCTTTGGAAGCATTCGTAGTCAACAAGGGTAAAATCGTATGAAGGCATTTGAGTTAGCATATATACCAAGGCGCTATCTGGAGTACAAAATAAATAGTAATTTAGGAATCACAGAGTCATATTATAATCCATGGCTCTTGTTTGAAAGGGATATTTTGATCTCATAATTATGCTACCCGCGCTCAACTTTCCCAAAGTTTCAACACCAAAACCCATCTGGGTCACACCAAAATAAAGCACGAGATCCATCAGTCGAGAATGAACTTGCCCATCCTGAAGGCTACTTTGTTACCGGTGAAAATCTCCATAGTAACCACCACATAAGTTCCGGTCAATTAAATAAATTCCACCACCATTCACCAGATAGGACTCTTCATCCAGCAAGTGCCCCGTTCCTAATAATTTATTTTCCAATCCCTCATCCCCCACCTTCACCAGATAATCAGCACTATCTCCCTCCGAGCACAGCACATATGTGAGCATTTCTCCTTTCATTGGGTTCCTTTTTGATCATAACTATGCTACTATGGATCAAAGACGATGACTGCAAAAGATGTAACCATCAGATGCTAAGGAGGCAAATGTCGTTGTTTCATTACAGTAGACTTGTTCAATCGAGCCATAGATGAGGGAAATTCTTTTAGTAGAGGTATTGTGACATTGTGTCTTGCGAATCTCTGACCCGAGACCAATAGAGTGGCATTTTTCTAGCCTGTATTCTAGGGAATCGGCCCTCCGGTTGAGATATTTGCAAATTGTGATTCGACATGCTGCGATGATCGAAGTTGATTAGAAACTTCAGAGTTCCATCCAGGTAACGTCGGTTCGCATGGGGAAGCAAGCCAGTGTTTGTGTTACCACTTTTAATGAGTATGTTTCAAGTTGGTATTTTCCGATATAGATGGTGTTACGAGTAGATTTAGGGGTCCGTTATATGAACACCCGTCCTGGTACAATACCTTGAGGCTGCCTGTTTCTCAATTGACCCAAGATAATTGTTTCATAATAGGTGTAAGTCCCTAGTGTATTCACTATCAATGGTTGGTAATCCTTGCAAGACCCTCTCGACATTCGTTTCTACAAAGTCCACCGTTTCCAAGAGCCTGATGGCTCTAGGATTGTCTTCATCAATCGATTCATCGCTAAACACATCGTCAACGTCACTATACACCTCAGGATGGTAGCGGACTATGAAATCATACACTTCCTCTAGGAGCGTGGTAGGCCGTCTCACCATCTCCACTCTCCATCTGTCAACCACTCGTTGATATCTTTGACGGGCTTCTGCATCGTCATCCACAGTCTCGTAGATTCCCAGGAGCTCGGCTACATTGAAGTACCCTTCCTTGCTCACGTCCCTATCTAGAAGTTTACTCAAGGAGCGATACCCTGCATCGTCGTCGTGGATCCCAAATTGCCAATTCCACACCCCTTCAATTAAGCCGGCTAGCTGACGGCCAATCCAGATCCACGGTGCGCGACAATTTCCACACGTAATGTCGGGCTGTCCATCCCGAAAGTTTGTGTCGGCCCAGGTCCAAATGCACTGCAGATGAAAGTTCTGCCCACACTGGCCTCTACACCACGTGATAGATCCATCGCCTTCGAGATTCTCGAGGCAGATGGAACAAGTTTCCTGTTCCTCGACCGACTTCTGTGTACAGAATTTATCTGTTGACACTGGACCCATCCAATCGATTTCATCTCCCATCATGCATCTGAGCTCAGCCTCCAAGAAGGCAGATTGGTGACGAAGTGGCGCCGGTAGATTCAGGAACTGCGTGAGGATCTACGATTGAGACTGTTAGTCATCGCTCATTTTTTGATATGTCAATAAATAAAAATACCTACAAAGACAATATGAACGCAGAGTATACCTCTATTGCCTTCATAACAATTGCAATTTGGCCTCTTTCCTATGATGACCACGTACACATTACAGCTGGTACCGAGAACAGCGAACTGTCTTGAGAACTCAACGTCATCTTCGTATCCTACAGAATACCATTTGTCAAGACAATGTAGCTTCTGAGTTTGAGCATCCTCAAGCAAGCGTTGGAACTTGACGGTAGGTTCCGGTAGAAACGGTTCGAGACGTTTCTCTTCTACCAACACAATTCTGTCGCCAATATACGCCTTGGACATGGTAGCTGCACTTTCTTCCTCATCGCTGGAATCATCAAACATGAGGCTAACAAATTTTGGGGCTGCGTTGGGCTGAGAATTTTGAACAGGTGGTGCTGCGACAGCTGGAAGCACACTTGGGGCTGGTGGCAACGCAGCATCATTTTCTTCTTCATCGCTCGAATCTTCCCACGTGAGATCAATGTATGGTGTATCTCTACGCATCAAAGCATTTTGATTGGATGGTGCTTCGATTGCCAGGAGCAAGCTTGAAACTGGTGATGAAGCAGTCTCCGAGCCCTGATGTTCGACGACTGAAGCTTCATTTGAAGCAGGTGGTGCAATAGCTCCTGAGTTCCAAGTTTCAACAGGGCCTGCTCGTGTGTGAACAGAATTTTGACCTTCGCCTCTGCGCCTGACCTTCGAGGGGCGTTCATCTCCACTAGTATCGGCATCATAGTCGGATATTTCCTCATACAAGCGGCTTTGCGGAGTAGACTCAGGAGATTGACGAGTTGTGCTTGCTTGAACTGTATGGTTAGCTCTTGAGGGAGAGCTAACTAGAACTGACTGGGCTGGAGTCTGAGAGGGGGCGCCAATATTGGCAAAAGTGCTCGAAATTTGCTCTTGCTCCTGCCTAGACATCGTGCTGCGACCAGAACGGATTCGAGATTGCCTGCTATGAGTAGGTGCCATTACGCTTCTAGCTGGCGCGTCGATAGCCATTCCAGACTCTATATTATCAATTGAGTTAGAATCACCGGCTCTAACCCTTTGGGCTTGTGGTTCTTCGTCATCTGAATCCAAATCTGAATTGCGCGAGCGCTTTCTAGTCTCTGGAAGGGGAGCCAATCGGGTATCGATGTCCATTGAAGGAGTGGTTGAAGAGGAACTGCTGACTGCGGTCGAATTGGAACTGCGACTCATTCTGGATGATTGAGAAGACATTTTTTTATGATGATTGAATCTCTCGAGACGAAGAAGGAGGAAGGAGATTATTGTTAGATGTTTTATTGGGAGAGATATCAGCGACTGAGTAACAACTTCTTGAAAGATGTTATCAAGAGAAAATTGGTATCTATCTGGACGTAATGCGAAAGTGTAAAATTGATTTGTAGAAGAATCTTAGTTGATCAAAAGTTGTTTATAGACGACTCTGGATGCTGTTCAGATACTTAGAATACTGTGTCAGAGAGTAGGAGGAAAAGAAACTTATATAAGACATTGTGGGAGGCCTGGTAGAGAAAATCATCAACTGACAGTACAGCCAGTGCTAGCGTATATGATTCATTGGTTCTGGTACGGCTAGCTATGGATGGAATATGGAAGACCTGATTGAAAGGTGAATATATAGAGGGACGGATGGCAGTAGATTTGCACATCCAGCCATATCTACAGTTGAATAATGCTACTGGTAAGTGAAATATGCCTTTTCTTATATTCTAGGAATTCAATCAGTGGTGACTCGGAACCGGACTTTCGGAAAACATCGTCTTCTCTCCTCGCTCAGATTGCAGGTATTTAAAATATGATTCTCCTATGGCGTCAGTTATGGTCGGAAGCTCTCGCTTTATCAAAATGTGCTAGATTGACTTCAATTTAGACATATGAAAGAGTAATCAGTTATGCTAAGAGTGATTTTGAAATTGACTTGCCCATAAACGTAAAATCGAGGTTTTTGTTCGCATCTTGCCAGGAGGCGCCATTGCAACGAGCGATCAGAATCAAAATCAGAAACGAATTGGCAACTATTTCCCCAACTTACTGCCAGTTGTTAGTTTCAGTAGAGCATTGGTATCTCGTCATCATTCTACAGTGGTTAGAGGTGATGTTGCACTTCAGGTGTCCAATAGGATGGCATTTTTGAGATTTACCATCATAAGGTTCTATTCAATGTGTGAACCTAGCAGAATTATGATTGTGACACTAAAGATACCAGTATGTGGAATGACTGATTCGCTTCTGATTTCATCTTTAATCTAATATATAATATGTATTTTAGACTCATATTTAATAAATTCAGTACCTACAATATCGATTAGTTTGTTCAGCTAACCTCATTGTCGCCGGTAGGGTTAGAGTTAGTCTAAAACCTATATAGTGACCAAACCTAGACAATAAGGAGCTTCCCAAATAATTTCCTCTACAACCAACTTGATGTTTTATTGTAATGATTCGTACCACCATCTCCTTTTCGAAGCGAACCTCTCCTTTCCTCCCACACCCCACCCGAACTTTTCCCGAGAAGGGCGTATGATATGCCCTCCACCTCTATCAATATGCACCGTCTCAATATCAAAACCCCACTTCTCCCCTCTTCATAAACCACATCACCATCCCCAATCCCAATCTCAACCGTCGATTATCTTCTCTCTCAAATGTCCTTCTTGCGCTTGAGGTTTGTACCTGGCAAATTATATCCTAAACAACTTACCTCTTATACTACCCGTCCATACCCAGCAGTAAACATTAGGAAGATGTCTTCAGCAGCAGCACCAGTGGAGAAGTTTGAGTGGTTGGTTGTGTTACCTGATAATGAGGGGGCGTTGGAGAGAAGAGTTAGTGTTAGACCGTGAGTTTTCCTGGGGATATGGTGGGTTGTGTGTGGGAAGTTTCGTACGAGAAATTCCACCGAGATGCTTTGTTTTGAGGGACTTTGCAAGAGAAAGTTGTGATGTGAGCTTGAGATGTATAGGAACTAAGGAATTGATAGCAAGCATTTTGAAGGTCTAAAGACCGGTCTTGAGTCTGGGTTCTGGAAGATGGGCGGTAGGTTTCACCGTTTTCTCTTTACTACGTCGTCCTTGAAGACATTCCGCTGAAAAACTCCACCAGGCGCCTTTCTCTCCGAGCCTCCCACCGGTGACTCTCCTCTGAAGTTCCAAGGAAGTTGCATGATCGCTCTTGCAAGCAGCAAGGAGGAAGTCATTGAGGTATTGAAGAAGGATATTTATGCCGAAAATGATGTTTGGGATTTCAGCAAGGTATGTTTTGTATCACTATCGCAAAGTTTTGTTATCACGGGTTACGAAGTTATGGGCATGGGATTGATTACTGATGTGTGTGCAGATCCAAATCTATCCCTTCAAGTGTGCATTCAGAAAGGAAGCGTAAAGAGTTAAGGTTGATTTAGTTGGGGCAAATTACTTATGAGGTTTTCGATCGAGCGCGATATCGATATTTGAGCCTTCTACAGTATTCAAAACAGCTAGGACAACAGAAGGATGTGTTGGTGATTTAGTAAATGAATCAAGCCATCATCAAATTTGCTGCGTGCCCTCTAGTAAAGGAACTGTATGGACATCACTCTTGAATGTTCCGGACCAAATTTTGCTTCTTCTTTTTGAATAACCACGAAGATTACGGCTGAACAGTCCGACGGCTGACAAAAGATGTAACATGGAACTAGTGTCCAGAGCGAAGAAGTAATGACAATGGATTAATGCTAGTAGGAAGATTAGGATATCCCAAGGGAATTTTGAGATAACACAAAATGTAAGAAAGATAGTCGCAAAGGGCGCCAGTGAGATGGATGAATGAAGACTTGTGAGATGATGAAACAGATTTGGAAGAAGTGAATGCTGTGCGGGATATGGGTGGGAGTAGAAATAACATGGAGTGCCGACACGTTAGTAGTAGTCAGCGAGGGCTTGTAGACAAAAGATTGCAGAACACCACGAGGTCGACATTGCGGATTGCTGGTGTAGTGTACTCATGCAGAAGACTTTTAGAAATTCCTGTTCGAAATTCTTGAATTGGATTCTTCGATCTGTGTCTCCAAAGTACATGTCTTGGAAGCCTCGAATGAGGCTAGTTTGATATCATTCTTTGACATCTCAGTCCACCTTCATCATACATAATCACGGCGTGTTCATGCACTCGGCAGTATAGATGGAACCAGGTTTTTATCTTTCGGAAGAATTCATGAATGCTTGCTGATTTATGGAAGCTACCCTACCAGCCCAATATTGCACCGAGGGAATATAAACCGTGGCCATGCATTTGAAAGTACGGAGAGAAAAGGTGAGATAGATATTTAATCGAAGAGACCGAAACCCATATCCTCGTCTGACTCCTCCTTGGCTGTTGAATAGTTAGTATATGAGATCTGCAAAATGCGCGCGGTTGTAAGAATTATCGTACCCTCTTCTTTCTCTTCCTTCTTCTCCTCAGCTGGGGCAGAGGCGTCACCGCTGGCAGCGGCACCAGCAGCAGCTGGAGCGGCTCCACCACCGGATCCGACGTTCAACAAAAGGTCCTTAACATCCTTTCCCTCGAGAGCCTATTAATTCCAACAATCAGCACTGCCCATAGTTGCTCATTCCTCAACTCAGATGTGTGAATTTCAATCGCATACCTTGGCGAACAATGAGGTCCAGATTGGCTCAACATCTTCAATACCGGCGGCCTTGATGAGGGTTTGCAATTTGTCGGCCTATTAATATCGAGTCAGCCACTTATCCACCCAATCGAGTATTCTCGTTTCTCAATCTCGAGAATATAGGAATTCGTACAGTGATATCGACACCGTCATCGGCGAGGATCAACGCGGCGTAAGAGCTGGCGAGTTCTGCGTTAGACATTTTGAATATCTAGAATTGATAAATTAGCAAGAGGCGCAGTAAATGAGAATGCGACTGCGTATATGCGACATACCGACAGATGGTTGTTTTGTCGGTAGGTTGATGTTCTTGAAGTCGTCGATGGAAAGGATTAAAAGTTTGTGGTGGGAGAGTTTTGGGAAATTCGAAAGTGTGCGTGACTAATATCATGTCAGGATTTAATTGGGCAGCAAGCGATAATTTACGGGGAGCCACTTTGACCAATGAAATACAGATGCAACTTGTTATTATCTAATCGTCTTCTATCTTTCATTTCTCCCATTTCCAACATAAAAATACAAAATACATAATAGGTAGGTATGCAGATAAAAATACTCTTCCATCAATCATCATGATGTCTCAATGTTGCTTCACATTCGTCGTCGCTTGTCAAGGTACTGTGATATGGTGATTTTACACAGAATTATAACATCTCTCAACGGTAGGTGTATGTAAGGTACACATGATATGCGATTTGACCTTATTGCTATCGCTGGTTTCACAAGCAAAAAATCGGTATCAGAATTGGTTCACCGTAAATGCAAGGCTTAGATTCTCTTTGTGGAACTTGCCCCGCCTTCCAAACCATCCAATAAGGGAAATATTATGACATAGCCAGTAGCTCTTTACTAAGAAACAGCCTATTGGGATCAACACTATTCTATCGATTTCTAACTTACTGATTCAACAATAGCGAATGATAGTAATCAGCTCAATCTACATCATCAGTACTTCGATTATTTGCAACTTTCTACAATACGAATCAAACGATTAAAGTCTTCCCACAAGATACAAGCAAGTCATCAAAGTCCAGACCTCAACTCAACCAACATTCATCATGACTGATACCCCATCTCATCCGCTACCCCTTGATCCTCGCGAGCAGCCTATATTGGAAGCGCTCACTTCAATACGGGACGAATTGACTCTTCTAAAGCAAGATAGAACAACGTACATCAAGGCTGCAGATGTGCTCGTCCTGCAAGGCAAAGTAGTTGAACAAGTTAAACTTCTGAATGAGATAAGAGCCGATAAGCCCGATGAGCAAAACCGAGGTTAGTAATGAGAGGTAGAAGGTTGACATATAATGCAGTTACTGATCGAGAACCTGACAGTGGATCGCGTGCTGGATGGATGTTTTCAACTTCTCTCCCTATTCTTCATGACCATTGGCAAAACCAACGAAGCACCCGCAGCCTATTCTCTCACATCCACGATCAAGCGACTACTCGACCATCTTACCGAAGTCGATCTGTATTGCGAGAAGGATTTAGCACACGTTGCGCAGACTCTTGAGAGGCTAGGAGGCATAGTGAAGAATGCTAAGCCGTCTTACTCCCCCTTCCTTCTCACTCTTCTCGGTAACAGAATCGATGTCTGCCAGCGATCATTGAAGAACTTGAGCAAACGACTAGAGCGAATCGGTGCAGACTTGTTACCCATTCACGAAAAGATCATATCGATATTGAGATCAATATCATTAGCAAATACTAGGGCTAAGGTGAGATAATTGCTATGGTGGTCCCCCTCTTCGGCTTGAGTGAGAAATCATTTGAACGCCATGCTGATTATGATCTGGGAATTAGTTTTCGACAACAGAGGTGACAAAGCTGCAAAATCAAATAAAAGAGGTTGATTCTCAAAGAGTTGATGGAAAGTTTGTAACAGCCTCTGGGGAAACACCTCCAGGAAATGATGAAGTTTGTGAATATCTAGAAAGGTGTTTGAAGTGGGCGGAAGTTGTGCTGGAAAGGTTAGTTTTCAGATATATTCTCAACCTACAGTTCGCTGACGATCAATCAGGAAGGGACAATTTCCAGAAGCCTTTCAAGGGCCATATTCCGTTCTAGTTGAGATTCGAAACAAACTAGAGAAGCTATCTTTGACCCAAGCCTGGTCATTGAGGGAAACTGATTTGTACGACTTTCAGCGACAATTGGACAGAATCGACGAGAGCAGAGTAGATGGTAATTTTGTTGATGCTGAAGGAAAATTTGCCGAATTATATGTCCAGCGGGTATGCACATTAACTACACTTATCTTTTTTTTTTTTTTAAGAAATGCAAACTAACCAAATTAGACTTTACTCTATTTAATTCGACGTAGCTATGCTTATATTTACTTTCTCATGGTGTCCTCCGAACCAGTTTCTGAAGCACTTCTTCCGGTCTATAATCAACTTCAAACTCTGAGGCGATGTCTCATTGAAGTCAAAAATTCCGGTGGAGTCAGTTCTCCAAGAGAATTGTATCCTTACAGCATGAAGGTAGGATATCCTCTAACGTTCCTGTGTGCCTTGACTTAGCTGACACATCACTCAGTTGAATTCAATCGACAACATGCGTGTAGACGGCAAATTCATGGTCGGGCCAGATATTCCTGAAGGCCAAGGCAGCGTCACTGATCTCCTTGCAGAATGCTTTGAGCTTAGTTATGACCTGCGTGTGGCCGCGGAGACTGAAAGTGATGCATAATAAAATAAGTATTGCTTTATCATTTTGGGGAGTCTGGTGGTATGCGCAGTGACTTTGACAGTCCCTGAGGCTGGGGGCGTTCCGGGTTATGATTTGGGGTATACTTTATCAATATTTTTAGGTATGGTGAAGTCTTTGTAAGATATCTGGATCAAATACAAGGTACAGGTGCAACACCAGGGAACTTATGGGGGATCATCAGTGTATGGAAAGTCACTTATGTGCAAATATGACAAGGCGTACAATGGATCAGATTTGATTTCATATTGATGGCGATACTAAAGTGAATTGATGTGAAGTACAATTGATACTTCGTAAAATATGGGGAGAGTCTAGGGGCTTCCGGGTTTTGAATACAACTCGGGTCCTTCAACTTCTACCCCTTCTTCTTACCCAGCCATCGCAACGACAGAGTACTCCCATTTCTGGTGTTGCCAACCACGTGATCCACCAACCTCAAATTCCATTTGCCGCAGAGGCGTACTTTCATTTCCATCGGTTTGAATTATGGATATACGGTACCATCTCTCCCATTTCTGAGATTTACAGCAAATCTTTCGATCTTTGATGTAACCAAAATTACTCCAAGTTGCTCAGAAAGCGATAGTTTGTTTGATAACCATCTGTAGCCAGCCCCGAGGGGGCTCAATATGAGGCTCCATAATCGCTCCCCGTTGCTTTCCAATTCTACTGGGACCAACCGGCCAACAAGTTTGCGTAGCATCACTATAAAGTCTGGAATCAAGCATGTTGTCATCCCAGTGCTTCTTCCACGAAGTCTGTGATTTGTGTAACTCCGTGTACGTATACCACAAGTTCCAGCTTTACGAGAGTTGAAAACCATTGAAAGAACCTCATCTAGCCCTCATAACACTAACATCCTCAATCGCCCCATCTCCACTACTTTTCGCCCCTCCTTGTCCTTGTCCCTCCCCAACCATCTTTTCAATAATTTTCGCTTTTGCCACCGCCCTTTTATACCTATCATCGAAATCACCGACCGCTTCTTCCGAATTCTCTGTCGACAAACTTTCTGCTTCCGCTAATGCATGAAATACCTTTACATGTTTTGCCAATCTTTCATTTTTGGCCAGTTCGGACAATTTGAGATCATGTGGTCTCTCTCCTTCCTTTGTCTGACTCTCCCGCTCGAGCTCTGGGCTTGAGGTTGTGGGAATTTTGGACTTTTGGAAAGAAGGAGTTCGGTTGACCCATACGATGGATTTTCCGTGTAATCGACCCATTTCAACGTATTTTTCAAATCCCTTTTCAAGTCCGAAAGTCCGCCCTTCTATGCGACCGGCGGTTATACCTTCGGAGAGTCCTTGATTGTAGCCGGTGGAATAAAATTCTTCCTCGAGGTTGAGAATATCTTCAAAAGGATCAACAGTAGCCATTTTGGTGCGTGATGTGATTTGATGCACTCTTGAGCAAATTATAGAAGCGGACGTTTGAGAATCGTATATCAAAACCCGCAATATATTACTTCGACTCAGGCTATGATTAGAACGAAACTTTTCCTTCTGATTTAGATGTGTGTTCTTGAATATTTTGAGCACTTAGACTATTTCCTGGTAAATTTGCTTGTTAATCGTGAGGTGAAAGAAAATGCGTTCTTTCGGATTTTCCATAGAAAGGTTGGATTATATAAGCAAGGGACCCCGCCACCAGTGGGTACACCCACTTGTGCGTCAAAGCCTGACTCACCCGAGTAACATTAATAAAATCCATAGCGGGGTTCTTTCTCTTGAGGTTTCCTTCCCAACACAACAACCAAAATGACGACTCCAAATATTATCCTACCCGAGAAGGGCAAGAACAACATCTTAATCACCAGTGCCTTACCATATGTGAACAATGTTCCTCATCTTGGAAATATTGTTGGCAGTGTGCTGAGCGCCGACGTATTCTCCCGTTATAGCAAGCTTAGAGATCGCCCAACTCTTTATATCTGTGGTACTGATGAGTATGGTACTGCTACGGAAGTCAAGGCTTTAGAAACAAAGCAGACTCCCAAGGAGCTCTGTGATGAATTTCACAAAAAACATAAGGATGTTTACGACTGGTTTGAGATTGGATTCGATTACTTCGGAAGGACGACTACGGAACAGCAAACGATCATCGCACAAGATATCTTCATGAAATTACATAAGAATGGGTACTTGGAGGAGCGCACAACTACACAGCCCTACTGCGAAAAGCATCAATCTTTCCTTGCGGATCGTTTTGTTGAAGGTACTTGCCCTAAGTGTCAATACGATGATGCCCGAGGCGATCAATGCGATAAATGCGGTAGTCTCCTTGACGCTTTGGAGCTTATCAATCCTGTTTGCAAGGTCGATGGTGCTACTCCAATTCCACGCGAGACGAAGCATATTTTCTTACTTCTCGACAAAGCCCAACCTGCGATTGAGGAGTGGTTTAACAAATCAAGTGAGGAAGGAGGATGGCCCAAGAATGGTATCAGTATCACGAATTCATGGCTCAAACAAGGGCTGCAAGGACGAAGTATTACTCGAGACTTGAAATGGGGAACACCAATTCCTTTGCCAGGTTATGAGAACAAGGTTCTTTACGTTTGGTTTGATGCTTGTATTGGATACCCATCGATTACTGCAAACTACACAAAGGATTGGGAGCTCTGGTGGCGCGATCCAGAGAATGTTAAGCTTTACCAATTCATGGGCAAGGATAATGTTCCATTCCACACTGTCATTTTCCCCGGATCTCAATTGGGAACTGGAGACAAATGGACAAAACTTAACCATCTCTCCACAACCGAATACCTGAACTACGAGAACGGCAAGTTCTCCAAATCCAGAGGTGTAGGTGTTTTCGGTGATACTGCAAAGGATACTGGCGTCCCACCATCCGTATGGAGATATTACCTATTGTCGAATCGACCCGAAACTGCAGATTCACAATTTGAGTGGGCAAACTTCATTCAATTGAATAATTCTGTCTTGCTAAATAACTTGGGTAATTTCGTTAACAGAGTTGTCAAATTTGTCAATGCAAAAATGGATGGAGTCATTCCAGAATTCTCTCCAGAATACAAGGACGAGAAGTTCGATGCCCCTGCTTTCATCGAGGAGATCAATGCTCAGTTGAAAGACTATAACAACGACATGGAAGCTGTAAAGATTCGTGTCGGTTTAGATCAAGTCATGAAGATCTCCACCAGCGGAAACAACCTTCTCCAATACCGTCTAGATAACGCCAACCTTGCCGAGCACCCAGAGAGAACTCACACCGTCATCGGACTCGCTCTCAATCTCGCTTACCTCATCGCATCCATCACATCACCTTTCATGCCCTCAACGTCCGAGTCCATCGTTTCTCAACTATCAGCCCCACTTATCTCCATCCCAGATAAATGGAACCCAGCTGTTCTCAAGAGTGGTCACAAAATCGGTAAACCAGCATACCTCTTCACACGTATTGATGAGAAGAAGGCCGAAGAATGGAGAAAGCAATATGGAGGAACACAAGCTTCTAGATTAGCGGAGGAAGAAGCCCAAGCAAAGAAGAAGGCGGATAAGGCGAGAGATAAGGAGAGAAAGAAGGCAAAGAAGGAAGCGGAGAGAGCGGCTAAAGCTGCTGGAGGCGCTGAGAAGAAGGAGCCAGCTGCTGGTGTTGAGACTGAAATCCCTTTGAGAGGAAAGGTTGCGGAAGAGCAAGCTCCTCCTCCTGCAGCTGCACCATAAAGAATTACCAATAGATGTTTATGAAAAGAAATGTGAAGTTATATTTAGCGAGCGATTCGGTGATGGGGGTGTGCAGATTAGAAGAGAGAAAAGGAAGACTCTTGAAACCTCTGATATTTGGTAGCGAAGTAAGGTTTACAAATCCGGTTTTGCTTGCTAGAGAGCAGAGAATAGCATTGGTTCACAACAACCATTGGAGAAAAACAAATGAAAGACTGTAAGAAATATAAAAGAGATTATAAATATTGTAAAGGGATTAATTTTACAAGAGCACCGTGAGCGAATGTGAAACATCTTAGATTGGATTGAAAGGTAATTTTATCATTATCATACAACTCCCATCATCATGCGGGCATCATTAACTAACTTGCGAAGAAAAGACCCCTTTCCTCCAAAGAAGTACCATTCCAAAACCATGCATCCGTATCCGCCATATAAAAAAACAAGTGACTATCTCTCGCGTCATGCGTTTGAAGCCATATCATCATTACCCATTAACGACATCACAATTTGATATTTTGCACATGTCTTAGCTCGCTTGCGAGCACAAACATCTCGTTCTTCTTGAAACAGTATTTGGGGTATTTATTTCCCGCCAAACCAGCTGGAAATACCGCTCTTAGCCTTGGCAGCTTCGGCTTCGACTTTACGGTCTACTTCGTCGATCTTCTTCATGGTGGTTTGGGCAGCGTCGTTCTTGTATTGCTCGAATTTTCCTTCGGCTTTGGCGAGCTCGGCGCGGGCTTGGTTGGTCTGTGGGTCGGGAGTTAGTTGTTTGTGAGAGTGAGGGTGAGAGAAGCTGTGTATTATGGGGGAGATAGTTTGGGCTAAGGGAATGAGAGGCTAGAAAGGTAAAGATGATAGACATACAGCAGAATCAAGCTTAGCACCAGCCTCGGAACCCCATTTCTCGGCTTCCTTTTGAGCTTGTGTGGTGCGACCAGGTATCTCGGACTTTACTTTTGCGGAAGCACGGGAGAGATCACCTATTTGGGTATTCTGATTAGCTATTTGCTCAGTGCGAGGCAAGAGAATGTTATGTTGTGAGATGAAGGAGTTTGAGTGCTTTGAAATCGTCGATATTCGGTGGCGATGTTGGATGGAGCGGAGGGGGCGTTATGAGGCAAAATGGGAATAGGAATACATACTTTCAAATTGCTTCTCAGCAACCTTGGGACTTCCGCCTGCGCTATACAAATAATAACCTACACCACCGGCGGCGGCAAGACCAATGTAGAGAGGAGCGCGGGAACTGCGTTGAGCCATTGTGATATGTTATAGATTGATTGAGATGGAAATTGAGTGTGTTTGTTTGTTGGTTGTTGAAGAAGTTCTGTTTGCGAGTACTAGGTAGATGAAAGTATTGTAATGTTAATGTTCAAAGGAAGTAGAAGGAAGAGGGAGGTTCTTGAAATAAGGGAAGGTGGTACGGGAGACTTTTGTAGGTGACGGTTTGATTGGTGAATTCTTGTTTATGAAACTATTACGACGTTGCTTCTTCTTTTTCTCTTTTTCTCTTTTTCTCTTCTCTTCTTTTCGATGATATGATGTTTCTTGGATGATGAGGGGGAAGTGTAACGTCATAGGTTAGCTATCCTGGTCAAGACTGGATGAAAGCTCGGGATGAAAGCGGCGTGGGATGTGGCGGTGCTATTTGACGGGGCTTGTGCTTTGGTAAAGGTTGTTGGTCTATTTGCTTTGTTCTTGTGCAAGGAGTGGATTAATGTCATTTTGGTTGGAAATGTTATTTGGAATACTATTTACTGGGTGGTCGGTAATAGATGGAGAATAGTTAGTAACTAGGTAGCTATCGACATCGATAGAAGTCCATAAATGAATACATCAAAATGAAGATATACATGTTTCATGCGCATTGCCGTCCCGCAAAAGCAGCATTCAATCTCAAGCCACTTTCCCGTTCGTCTCACTCATCAACCATGGAAGATCTGTACTGGGATCAGAAACAGATACGGATACCAGGATGCCAGAGTGAAGTATCCTAGCGCGTCATCAAAACGGGGGCGCGCAAGTATCAAAGCTACCTACCTACCTAGTACTTATTAGTAGTTAGCACCAATGATCTATCCCAATCCGTTCTTCCATCTTCTTCAATTGATCCAGACTGAGTCTAACTGCTGAGATAGGTAGCTGGGCTGGGTAGGTAGGTACTTGGTAGTTACCTGGTACACACTTGCTCCGTACATGGTTTTGGGACATTCACTTGAACACCGATTATTCCAACAAAATAACTTGGAACAGACGTGCAACAGAATTCCATTCAAAACTCTCTTTTAATAGAAATTAATCAAGGAATTGCTGCGAGATTTACTATCATTACACTGTGACCCATGAGCTTGGCCGAGCTATCAGCAATCTAGATTCTAGGTTCTCAATACGAGCATCTTTAACCAAAACAAGACCAGCTTCGATTTTAATTTTAATTTCAATTTCAAGGAGAGGTAGACGACCAACCATCCATCCAGCCAGCCAGCCAACAGAAGCGCAACTCAATCCAACGGCTATGCAGTTCTCGTGAAATCGAGAGAATGTCCATTTTTCAATCCAAGAATAAGAGACCTCAACCACTAACTGATGCTGATTATGATCATGAAATCGGATTAGTGGATCATACAGATCCAAGTGCGGTTCAAAGTCGGAGTCGGAGTCGAAGTCGTTCAAGAAGAGGGCAGGTCAAAACTGATGATCTGCCAGCGATAATTGTAACAGATTCATCGTCGAGGGATCGAGCTGATGAGCCATTGAGGAGAAAGAGGTCTTTGAGAGCGGAGTTGACAAGGAGGAAATGGAAGAAATATAGGGACGCGCATGTTGCTGCAGATGAAATCGAAGATAGTCCTGTTAAAGTCAACTCGATGGTGTATGCGATTATTTGATACCATTCATGTGTGCAATTTACTAACTCCATCTTTGCAGAACCATACCTGCAGAAGTCTATGATGCCGTTAACGATGAAGAAAATCGGGGCCGAAGTCGAAGAAGAACAAAAGCTCAACAGGAACGGGACAAACTGCCTTACGAGATTGATATCTTATATGAAAACGAACGAGGGCTGATTCTATGTGGATTGCATATGTTTTCTGGTCAAGCATTAGGGGTCCTGGATGCCGCGCCTTGGTCGAAGATTACGAATAAGCCCAGCTTGACAGATACTTCGAATGCTCAAGTCCCGGATCCAAGTTGGGAATGGGCGTGGCCAGAGTGGATTGTCAATCATGATGACGGGGTAAGCATATCTACAATTCGGGATCCGGATCACTAGGCTGGAATTTGGAAAACATACTAACTGTTAATGTGAATTAGGTCGATGATGAAGGGTGGGAATATTCTTTCGCTTTCTCTAAGAAATGGTCATGGCATAATGCCAAATGGTATAGCTCATTTGTTCGAAGAAGAGTATGGATTCGAAAGCGAGTCAAAAAGGGTCATATGCCACTACATGCTCACATGCTTAATGATGATTACTTTACTATACATCCAGTGAGTACTCTTTCATTGTTTATTACCGTCAATCAATTGAACACCGAATTCGAAATCACCACCATCTATAATTTTCAGCAATACTGACTTCATTCATCAGCCACGTAGCAGAAGTCGCGCGACAACTCTTACAGGCCCCCATGCTTTAGAGGCAGATGGTCGAAGTCGGAACAGTTTAGCAGCCTCTAGCCGCAATTACGAAACCGAGTGGAAGGTCGAGGAAATAAGTAATATTGCAACTCTAATGAAAGTGCTCCGAATTTGTCGAATCGATAGAGAGAAAATGGAAGCAGTGGAGAGTTTTATCAAACATGGGGGCGAGGAATTGCATTATCTAACAAAGCCCGAACACATGCACGAGATTATGAACATGTTTATCTTTCAGGCGAGTAGGCGGATTTTGCTGGCGAGATTGATGAAAGAATTTGAGGAAGCGGGTGGGGAGATTAAGGAGGGGGGAAAGGGGGATGGGGACGAGACTGAGGGCGACAGTGCAATTATGAAACAAAGACAACGTGCCAAGAATCTGGAAGCAGCACTTAAAGCCGCAGACGAAGAAGTCAAGAGATTGGAATATTGGAGTGATGTTCGACGTATGGCCGAGAAAGGAGAAACGATTGGGGCAGTAGATGATGAAAAAGGATGGGATGGAAATTGGGAGGGCTTGGATGGGAGTGGGCCCAAAGATGCGAAATTTGATGGGAAGGTTATGGAAGGGGAGGAGGGGGAGGAAGAGGAAGAGGGTAGCATTGAGGGGAAAGAAAATGGGAATAGTGATAAGAAAGACAAGGGAAAGGAACGTGCTCAAGATTGAACGGGTTCGCTTAATAGATATCGGAAGCGATGAATGGGTTTATATACATATGAATGGTTCAGTCAGACACACGAAATGACGGATCGGTGGGTCTCGGGATTGGCGTTTCTATCTCTTCAATACCTTCGATTGAATTGGAAAGGAGGTGCATAGCGTTTTGGGTTCTAGACTGGACTGTATATTTTAAGGTTGTTGGGTAGTATTGGATACTAGGTAATTCGATAGGAGTTCAAGGGGGAGGATGGCAAGGTGGATGATTGGTAGGATGGGAGTATGAAATACCCGGATAGGATTGAGATAGGACGAATGGAAATGAAAGCATACCTACTCTTATTTCAAAAACAATGATACGCTGTATAAGAAAAGTGTGGTATTCAATACATATATTCGTTCATTAAGCTCGTCTACAGCCCCTTTTATTTCGCCAAAAATTTCTGGAAAGCCTCATGCTCAATCGCAATATTGCCAACCGCCTTCAACTTCTTTCTTCCCTCCTTCTGTCTATCCAACAACTTTCTTCTTCTGCCAATATCACTTGCGTGTAACTTTTGCAACACATCTTTTCTAAACGGTTTAAGCGTTTCTCTCGCTACAATTCTTTTTCCCGCTTGCGCCTGAATAATAACCTCAAACATTTGTCTGTCAACATGTTCTTTGAATTTCGTAACCCATTGTCTACCTATCTTTTCCGTCTGACTTGTGTGTACTACTCTTGCCACGGCATCCACTGGACCTTTATTAACAAGCAGTTGGAGTTTCACAATACTACTCCTGCGGAAACCTGCATCTTCATAGTCGAGACTTGCGTAACCTTTCGTTGCACCTTTGAGTTTTCCGAAGAAATCGTCCACGAGCTGGGCGAGGGGGATGTCGTATTTGAGAATTACTTGGGTGGCGGTGAAGAAGGTCAGATCGACTTGTTCGCCGCGGTTTGATTCGCAGAGTTCAATTACTTTGCCGAGATATTCTTCGGGGAGGGTGATGGTGGCTGAGACGTAGGGTTCTTGAAGTTCTTGCACGCGTTGATGTGTGGTTTCTTGTTCGGGGAAGAGGGCGGGGTTTTGGATGATGGACTCTGTCCCATCGCGCCAGATGACTTTGAAGGGTACGGTGGGTGGCGTGATGATGATACTTGCGCCGTGCTCTTGACGGAGACGATCTTCGAATACGGAGCAGTGAAGAGTACCAAGGAATCCTAAACGCCACCCTGCACCAAGCGCTTCTGAAGATTCCTTTTGTAAAGTTACACTTCGGTCATTGAGGACGATTTGGTTGATGGAGTCTTCCAAATGATGGTAGTCGCTTTGATCAACTGGGAACGCTGCCACAAAGACCATAGACTTTGGCTCCTCGAAGCCAGGATATGCCTCGACTAAATGCTCTGAGCCAACAGTGGTATAGGTATCACCACTTAGAGCCTCTTGACTTTTCTTCATGCCAGGGTTGAAGTAGATGTATCCAACCTGTCCAGCTCTCAAAATAGTTTGAGGTGTCTGATCCGGATACATAATTCCTACTTCACCCACGAAATACTTGATTCCGGTTGCAAAACTCACAATTTGGTCACCAGCCTTGATCGTTCCATCGAAAATCCTAACCAGTAGAATAACGCCCTTATAGTTATCGTACCATGAATCTACTAACAATAACCTCAGTGGCTTAGTATGGTCGCCAACTGGTGCTGGAATTTGTTTAATAACATTCGGAAGGATAGCTGGAACATTTAATCCTGTCTTTGCGCTGACCAAAACTGCATTCTCGGGCTCTAATTCAAATGCTTCTTCCATTTGCTGTAATGCCCTCGGCGAGTCCGCAGTCGGTAAGTCCACCTTATTAACCACTGGCACCAATGTCAAACCCTGTGAGAATGCCAGATAGAAATTCGCAACCGTTTGGGCTTGTACTCCTTGACTTGCATCTACTAGTAACAGCGCCCCTCCGCAACTGGCATAAGACCTCGATACCTCAGCTCGAAAGTCCACATGTCCCGGTGTATCGACCAAATGTAGTAGGTAATCTTCCCCTTCATGATTCCATAACATACTACATGTTTGCGCCTTAACGGTAATACCTCTTTCCCGTTCCACTTCCAGCTTATCCAAGATTTGTTTATCGCCACCAGGTTGGATCGTGCCTGTTAATTCGAGCAATCGATCACTAAGTGTACTTTTCCCATGATCTACATGTGCTACGATGCAGAAGTTCCGGAATCGTTCAATAGGTATAGCTTGGATGCGACGTTCTAAATCCCCAACGATTTTCTTAGCAATAGCATATCGTGTTACCGATGTGGTGAATGTTCGAGGGAAGGAGAGAGGAAGGAAGTGGGATGCATATTGAGATCTGATAGTGCTGGGAAGCCTAAGCAGGTTCAATGGACATCGCTGCATTTGTGGAGTGGGCTTCACAGCATGAGGACGCGGGGTTGAGGATTGGGGAAATTTAATTTTGGGGATGCTTTGCTTGCGACGGAACTTTCCGAAACGGCGGTCGCTGAGGCAACCGATTAATTATTTTGGGCTCTTTACTTTCTTTTTATCAGAGACACATAGTTAAGAAGGCCCGCCAGGTTGTAGAACGAAACTATTTTCCCAAACTACAGTCAATATGTCGAGCACAAAGCCAACCACAAAAACAGCTACAAAAGCAACCACAAAGTCAAAAGATAAGTCTGACAAATCGGACAAGGCAAAAACTCATAAACTCTCTCTGAAAGGTATGTCAAACTCCGTGGAAGTCAATTGCAGGGTTAATAAGTTATAGGTTCTTCGAAACTCGTTGCGGAATTTGTGAGTACTGGATGTTCAATCTGAAGAGGGGAAACTAATCTGCCCAGTTCCAATACTCAATAAATACTATCCTGTAAGTTCTAGCTCATCTGCCAATGGTCTACAAATCACTAATAGTTTCACAGCTTTCAACGAGGTGTATACCCCGCAGAAGACTTCTCAGCGTTTGTCTATCCAACTCACATCGTAGTCGATGAACACTTGAACTAACCATCTTTTAACAGAGTCAAGAAATATGGCCTCACAATGCTTGGTTTGTCCTCCCTATACGATATTAACATTTCAGCCCCTCACCTCTCACTCCTCCATAATCATCATGCTATACTTCAGGACTAACTCCACTTCATCAGTTTCCTCGGATGACCAAGTCAAAGCCTACATCAAGAAAATCATGTCCCAACTCGACAAATGGATGGTAAATGGAAAGATTACCAAACTTATCGTCGTAATTACTTCCAAAGAAACCGGTGAAGATGTTGAACGCTGGCAATTTGATGTCGAAATCTTCAACAAACCCTCCAAGAAATCATCCAAATCTAAATCTTCTACTACCCCATCCACATCTGAAAACGCACCCACAGAGGGGGACGCACCTGCACCCGCACCCGCGCCCGAGAAAACCGAAGCAGAAATCCAATTAGAAATTCAGTCGATATTCAGACAAATTACAGCCAGTGTTACATTTTTGCCAGAACTAGATGGCGCATGCACATTTAATGTTCTAGTCTATGCGGACGCGGATAGTGAGGTTCCAATGGAATGGGGAGATAGTGATGCGAGAGAGATTGTGAATGGAGAGAAAGTACAACTGAGGAGTTTCAGTACGGCTAACCATAAGGTTGGAACGATGGTTAGCTACAGAGTAATGGAATAATGAATCGGGAAGGGACTGGGAAGGAGTTATGTGTGCTATATGAATGGATGGACAGGATGAATGGATCGGCTTTGGATTTTTGTCGTGGGTATTCGCGTGGGAACGATAGGGATCTGTAAAGTTATGGATGAGCTGGAGATGATATATAGGATAGCTAGGACTATCACTCTCCTTTACTTTCACCAATGGAGAAAGATTTTTAGGGTGCAAAAATATGGGGTTAGGCGATGAATATTATGAATCAATAGAACAAACGCACTTCTTACTTCCGAATCAATTTTAGATGTGGTTTTCGCCAGAAGAAAGAGACTATTGAGCTCTCACAGTTGTGAATCTGAAATATCAATATAGGAGATCTCGCAGACGCTACATCTAACCATCTCTACTAGCATCGCCTTTCATATAATATGGGAAAATCTCACTAAATTGACTTTTGAACCTTCACATCACTTCTTCACTTCCTTTAGACACAGTTATTTATACTCATTCCTTTGTCGCAATGTCGCATAGAGATCTATAATCCAGACCACCGATTTCCTTCAGAAACTCACTTGATATCCCACCACCAAATCTCCGAATTATCTCTCGTTATACATCTCATAATAACGACCACACGAGATGCTGGAAAAGCCTACAAACAGTCTACTTCATCTCCTCAACCTCTTGTCGCATATCTTATTTTTCAACGTCGTCCGTTGGAAAGGGATTTGCAAAAGTGTAAGAATCATATCTCTTATTTCCACCCCTCAGATCTGACGTTGCGTATCTCGATTGAATTTCAATTATGAGAAAAGTGTCTTTCCAGATTTTTCTGCTTCTAGAGAGGTCTTATATATCCCATCTCTCGTTTATCTAACCTGAAGACCGAGTATAAGAAGATACTCACCCGCCAGCCAGCCAGTTCATTCTGATTTCCTGCAGCCTGCCAAATATTGCATCACCATCCAGCCTGAGACGAGAGACGTTGAACTTCAGAAATTCTGTACCTCAATCAGTAAGTTGGTTCGCCTTGTCAGCTTGGTATACCAGATGGATTGTTATGGTGACCATGAAGGCGCATTTCTGCGAACATATGTACAGTATTTGCAGACCACGGGACCATTGCAGTGATTACAGGAGTACCTCAAAAACCGAAGTGAATTTTGTATTTTAATAATTTCATTTTTCATTTTTCATTTTTCATTTCTCGTTGATTAATAATGCTACGTTACAGTGGTATCTAGTTATGCTTTTGAATGACTCATCTCTTCGTAGTAGTGTTTTTAACTCTTTCAATGTCCCGTCTTTTACTGTGTTACAGCCTTAATTCCTTGGAGTAATAGACCAAAAACCAGACCCCGTGCAATATCTTCCCTTTGCAATGCATCAAACACTTTCCCTAATGCTTCTCCGGTAGCTGCTTGTCCCATCACCCCCATTAGGGCAATAGGCATGCCTCTCTCTAGTAGAAGCTTTCTTGCTTTAGTCTTCAACTTCTCTTTTTGCTCTGCAGTCATCTCTTCTGGCCAGGCTTTTAATTCGGCTTCTGTAGGTAAGCCATTCTCTCTTAATTTCTGAATGGAAGAAGCGATACCCGCATCGGAAGTATAGGCCGAGATAACGGACTCTTGTAAGAGACCTTGAATAGAGGATAAAGAAGGGTTTCCTGGACGAAGAAGAAATGTTTTCGCGGCAGTGAGGAGTGTGCGTCGGAAGGTCCAAGCAGAAGACAGTGTATATAGTTCTGTTATGATAGCGAAGAGGAGCTCGATTGCTACTTTGGTTTCCTCCTCATTCAGTGGGGCAGTTTTCTTCTCTTTTGATAGTATAGGTGTTTGGTTTTTGTCACTGCCCAGCATGTCCTCGTTTAATGACTTCTCGGTTAGGGCAGGCTTTTTCTCATTTGCTGGTGTAGGTGCAACGCTATTGTCATTGTTAAGCACATCTTGGTGCATTGACTTCTCGACTGGGGTAAGGTTTTTCTCATTTGGTGCTGTGATTGCGCCGTTATTCTCATTCTCCAGTCCAGATTGATTCAATGACCTGTTGATTGGGGTGGTATAATCATCGGGCATCTCAGTAGGTGGTGGCGGCAAATGTAACTTGGATGTTGATGGAGTTTGACTAGGCTCACGACTGTTTGACGGGCTGTAGGCGGTGCTCATATGGCTGCTTACAGATGATCCTCTGGTTCTAATACCAGACTCCTCCTCAGCGCCTGGAATAGAACCACGACTTAACTTTCGTCCGAGAGATGCAGTCTTTCCAGGATGTGAGACAACTGAAGCTGCTTTCATGCTCTCCTCGCTCAATCTACCCCTTTTTTGTTCAAATGAGGAACCGTTTGATGAGGCCATGCTATCCACTCTTGACAGAGCCGGTGTTGACATACGATTTTGGGATTGCAAGCTACTCTGAGATGCCATACTATCCACTCTTGACGGTGCTGGTGTCGAGATACGGTTTTGAGAGTGCAAGCTACTTTGACTGGCTCTCTTTTGTGCAAGTGATCCAATGTTGCTGAAGACTCCCGTGACCCCGGCAGCTGCCCCCTTCGGAGCGCTTTTAAGTGTATCAAAAACGCCTTTACCCATGTTCTCCAGAGAAGACGTAGGCCAGTTGAAGCCAGCTTTTGTAGCCGTTGCCGGCATTGTCCCTTGATCCTTTTCCAAGAACCGTTTCATGCCCTCGGTTTCAGCAAGTGGCTGGTGAGTGAGAGCATCTTTCAGATATTGTTCCAATTCACCGCGTAACAATGGTTTGGTGAGGGTCTTCCAGTTTGGTAAATCTTGGTGTTTCTCAATGAAAGTATTCGCACCCGAAACTTTAGCGATTCGTCCAAGTACCTCATGTAAGGTCTCAAAATCCGAATATCTTCGGACAATCATCCATCCGGGATGGATCGATGACTGTGGTTCAATTTGGACCATATAGTCCATTGTAGGTTTGTTCTTGATCCTTCCTTTATCGGAAGCGACCGAGTCATCATAAATAATGATGTTCGCATTATGTAAGGTTAGAGGCACTGGCTTGCTTCTCTGAGGCGAGGTTTCATTTGAGTATAATGCGGCAGGTGTGGGGGGCACGATCTGGTCGAAGCTGGTAAACGAGGAAGTGGTCTGCGGGGTTGTAGGCGATAGAGCTTGCTTCGAGTCAGGAGACATAGGGGATCTGCTGTTCGTATCAGATCCAGATAGAGAAGGTCTTGAATCTGTGATAGGGGTGTGAGGCGGAATGCCGTTTGTTGATGATACAGGAACCGATTCCGGTTGTATATTCTCTTTGACATTTTGATCGTCAACAAATTTATTTTCTTCGTCCTTGAAATCATCGATTTGTGCAAGTTTCTTTGCATCCTCCGCAGCAATCAACATGCTGAGTCTCTTCGCTTCTGCCATAGCTTCATTGTTGGCATCTTCATCCGATATTTGCCTTTGATGCCTTTGTTTCTTGGGGGATCTAGCAATACTAACATTTCCGACGTTGCCATCAATGTCGGAGAATGGATCGTGGATGTTTCTACGGTCCATGGCTTCATCAATTGCCTGTCCCAATCCAGGCTCTCCGTCTTCTAAGAGGTATACAATCCATCCGTTGATAAACTCCGGCTTAGAACAACTTTTTAAAGTCATTTCTAAGACAACCCCGGCTAAGATCTCCCTTAAAAAGATTCTGGCTGGTCCGGATTCATAGACTGACTTCTCAAGGAAGCTTCGCAGAAGATCGTCTGCTGCCATTGTAAACTTTATTTTCTGCTGCCTCTCATTCATAATGTTGGCCAGACTGCTATCTGGTTTTGTACTCAAATAAGCGGTTACCATCTCTCCGACAGGCCGGCTTGTTCCTGGGGTTGCAGAAGTTGCATTCGCCAACTCATTGAGAAAGACAATGGTAATGGAAGACGAGTTGGTAAGGAAATCGAGGAATGTGTCGGCAGGTCGCTTTCTCGACAAACGCTGAGACATCGACAGAATGAACCTCGTAAGGGTTGATTTCGCAGCAATGGGGAATGCTTCATCGTTTGGAAGTATTGGACTGTACCAATACTTGACATAATCCCGAATGACGGCATCAACCAAGTCGTTCAACGCAGTGGCAGTCTTAGGTCGGAAACTCTCGAAGTTGCTCCCTGTGCCAGCGTCAACCAATTCGTACTGAATGTCTTTTGACTTGACTGCTTCTTCTCGCACAGCCAAAGCACTTTTCTCCGTAAAAATTGTATGTAAGATGACACCGCCTAGGCCCCCAAGGAGGAGAAGAAACAGTCCATCGATTATTATGTATATGCCGAATGATAGGGCAAGAGCTGCCAAAATAAGCTGCTCGTTTGAAGCCGTAGAAACAAATCGTAGTAATCGTGTAGTTATGTGGTCGTCGGTCGCGACTTCCGCGACCTTGGACTCGTTTGTTGAGTCCATTGTGGGCATTCAAGTAGTTGTGTTATCTGACAGTATTGTGTTGTTTGGTGTTCTTATAAAGTTTGAACCTGTTATGTTGATTCAATGCTGCTGCGGCAAAAGAATCAGAAAGTGCGAAGTTCGAAGGAATGCTAATGCAATGTTAATCCAAAGTCATTCTACTCGCAATGTCAATCGTCATTGCCTAGTTTAGCGTAGCTTCTATCTCGAATAGCTTCATGTACTAGGGGTACTAAGATTAAGGACAAATGTCAAAAGAACAGAAAGAGTGTTCGAGACTCACATTGAAAAAGTAATGGGCTCCATTTTGAACAATAAAATGTTGGTTTTGGCTACTGTGTACCTTCTTTTTCGACCGCGGACTTTGAGGCTGAGTTGAAACAAAATGGCAACTCAATCTTGTTATCGCTGATAACACTTAGGACCTCGTACCTGCTCTCGAGCTGCTGTACTTTAGAAGTTGCAAGCCTTATTACAATTGCATACATCAATACTACCTAGGTATCTTTTCAAATGGCTTTTCCCTCCGATGTTCCATGTTTTTCCACACTTGATCATTCATTCCATCTAAAAACAGACATTCAAATTATCACTTCTGATGACTATTTTCTGTAGCCATGATCGAGAACATACGGTCCAAGCACGGTGGAAGGAAGCCTTTGAAACAAGAATAGAAACGTCTAGCTGGATAAATGTGTAAATATTGAGGTTTTGATGGATCGTCAGGGATGATTTCCCCTTCCCTTTCCCCAGCCCTGTAGCTAGAGAGGTAAGGGAAGGGAAGATTACCCTTTCCCTTACTAAAAAAGCTTGAGTGAGGTTAGGTACTACCCGAAACAAGAGAGATGCCGAGTATGGAAACTATGTATTTACCTATGAACAGAAATTCTATATCAAATCAACCGATCAATATATCGGTGCAAGATTTCAGCCTTTCGAGAGAAAACATATACTTCTATGATATACACCGACTTGGATGAGATCAAATCATTAGAGGAATATCAATCGAAATTTAGAAAGTGTCTTAATTACCCTTTCCCATCTTATTAGTGGCTATCGATCGGTCTCTGCTGCTACATATCCCCGTCGTGATGTAGATCTATCAATCCTTCCACCAAAATCAATTTACGCGCAAACGCGAACTCTCGTCTTATCTCACCTCAACGCGTCAACCAAATTCATGACATTGAAATCCAAATGAAATCCAATTCATCAAACAATCTTTCATCCCAAATTTGAAATTTAAACAAATCATCTCAATTACTTGATTATCTGTTATTGTGTCCTCTACTCTCTAAATAATCTCATCTTACCTTTTTACTCCAGAAGACCCCTCATTGATAAGCTGATTCATCACTCCCATACAACAAATCAGATTTCAATTTAATCCACATCTTTCAATCTCAATCTCTACGTCCCCTCAAAATGCCAAAACGAGCCCGCGCTGAACCTGCCGAGACTTACGACTCTGATGGTGGTTTCGTATCCGATGATGATGGTGCTGTTCGCAAGGTAACCCCTCTCCCAATCCCAATTCCAATTCAATCTAGTCATCCTCAATCTCTTCCATCCTTCTCTTTCTGGCATCATCCAACATCAATTCTGAATACATTGCCACTCTCTATTCGATCCCACCTCACAAATGTCCAACCCTAGCTAATACACCCCTCAGTCCAAAAAATCTAAGACCACCAAAGCTACCAAAGCCACTACAGCAGCTAAACCCACTTCCTCCTCCTCCGCCATCTCTCCTTCATGGGATCTCTCCACCGGTCGCACTCCTCGCAAAATTGAGCTTTCAGACTTCAAAGGTCAAACACTCATAAACATCCGCGAGTTCTATGAGAAAGATGGAAATGTTTTACCTGGAAAAAAGGTTTGTCTTATTGCCCCCCATCCACTCCCCTTCTCAACGCAGTGCCACAAACACTGTCTTTGCAAATTTTATATGTGTGAAATCTTCAGAATAGACAATTAGAAATAGGAAAACAAGTCAAAAGCTAATAAAGAATAAATAGGGCATCTCCTTAACAGTGGACCAATACAAAAACTTCCTCAAATCCATCCCCCAAATCAACGCCAATCTTAAGAAAAAAGGTATTGACGTTAGTCCTGATGAAGAGGAGGCAGAGGAAGACGAGGAAGAAGTAGAATTGGATGATGAAGAGGAGGATGAAGAAGAAGAAGCCGTAGAAACAGACTCAGAAGCCGACAAAAAATCCAAGTGCAAGAATAAAAAAGTCAAGCCAGAAGCGCAGAAGGGTAAGAAGGGCAAGAAAGAAAATATTGAAGCTACGAGTGATGAGGAAGAATGAGGAGTTCGAATCTAAGTTCAAAAGATTGCTTGGAAGGGATTTCTTACTTTCGAGAGACACCCGAGAAAGGAAAAATTGTCGCTTCGAGACATAGGGGCCAGATTCAAGGGATTTCGAGGGCACCTCTCGGAATTGGTTGATGTTGCAGATTTGCTAATGTTTCTGTTATTCACCTCACTTCATTGCCCTTTTCATATGACATCAAATCATGTGAAGTGTGCATCTTGCTATTAGCGACCCGAGGATCTTTAGAGTTGTGAACTCAGGAGCTTATCTTGAAATGCTTGGGATGGTTTCAAAGGAGATTATTTGAGAAACACACGCGCAAACATACGCACACACACTGTTAGGTTTCGATGAGACTGCAATGATGCAATGATACTGAACAATTTTATGTACCCTAATCAATTAATTCATTCAATCATAAAGCTCCTCTCATGTATCTCCATGCTCCAAACTTCCCACTACCACCACCTTCTTATCATCTCTTTCCAGAATCTGAGAGATCCTCTCACGACTGCCAGCTCCCACTAACAGTAGCAGTCGTAGCACAACCTGTCGGAACAGTATAACTTCTATTTGGATCTGCCTCCCAAGTAACCGTCCCATCACTTGCCACATTGATAAACTTATACAACACCGTCGTGCCAGCTGGTAGATTGACCGTTACGGTCCACAACGGATTACTAGCCGTATACTTCGCGGCGCTCAACGCAATCGCCGAAGCCGGTGTCCAAGTTCCCAATTGGGAGATGGAACCGGAGAGTTTGATCGTTTGGCCAAAGGAGGTAGTGACCAATTCATTGAAAGTCACAGCTACCGAAGTGGCTGTTGCGCATGAAGAAGTGGTGGTCGAGGTAGAAGTTGTCTTGGTAGTGGCGGATGTACTGGTTGTGGGTGTACTTCCTCCGCCGCTGGGGGTTTGCGATGCGGGCCAAGAAGTGGCCGTTGCGGTGGAATAGGTTCCGATGGCCGAGGTAGCGGAGCAGGTTCCTGGAACGCTGGAGGCAGATGGCTCGCCCCATGAGTATGGGACGACGCCTGCGCGACGGGCGGCGGCAGTGAGGAAGGCGGCGTAGGACCAGGTGAGGTCGTAGGCTGAGAGAGGGGCGCCGCCGGCTTTGTTGAATTGTTCTGAGAGGGAACCGTTGGTTTGTGCGTAGGTTGCGACGATGTTGACGTAGCCGTCGGCGTAGGTTTTGATGGCGTTGTAGAGAGTGGTGTAGGTTGATGTGGAAGATGCGTATGTTCCGGCTGTGATGGAAGAGCTGAAGTCCTTGAAGAATGCTAGGGAAGTAGCAGTTACCGTGATAGAGCCAATTCTATTCCAGGTGTACAATGCATCATATAGTTGTTCGGCGGCAGCAAGAGTATTGAGATACCAAGGATTACCATTATAGTAAGAATCTTCTGGGTAACGTCCAACAGAAACGGCAACACCTTCGGCAATTCCAGAGTTGATGCTGTAGATAGATCTGAAAGAATCAGTCACAACTTTGTGATTCGATAAAGCGCGGTCTGAGCATGGTTGAAATGTGGTGGCATCACATGCAGCAGTAGGATCAAAGGTCTGAATAGAACTCAAGATACTGTTTGCATCTTTTCCGTTTCTTCCGCTGTTTTGGTTGATATTGGAAATGATGTATCCCGAAGATGAACTCCAGAAACTCTGGAGGAAGCAAAGGACTTGTGGGGCTCTGAAAAATGGATTAGCACGTGTATTGAAACATGTTCTTTCATGTATACTTACTGAGAATCACAATAGGTACAGCTTTGACCGATTTGGGCGGCCAATGCACTACCTTCAACAAGGGCACGATGTTGAGCAGCAACAGTGAAGAAACTTGATCCTTGAACTTCTTCCCAGAGATCGAAGCCAGTTTGGTTCCCTGTAAATTGAGTCAATCAAGGGCTTCAAGAAAAGAGGGTCATCTATTTTGAGACTAGTTTAGTTTTCTTCACGTCGACTTACAATATTGAGTAACATAAGACAGATCATTTCTGATGATTGGCCAAACAATATTTTGCACCGTGGAGGTATATCCATTGGCAATCAACCATTTTGAATAGGTAATCATAGCAGTAGCACGTAAAGCGGGTCCATCTCGTTGAGGTCTTCCCCAAGACCCTGTATAGCTCACATGTCAGTCACCATCAGAAGAGAGTTCTCGAATTTTCTCACCTGTGAATGCCGATTTATCCGCATTGAACTTGGGCTCTCCCAGACCACCAGATGATAAACCACCTGAAGGGTTTGACACGGTTTGAAGTCCAGCTTGGGAGCTTATATAATTCTCAATCTCCTGTTGAAGTGATGCAGAATAACTGCTGCTGATAAATGTGTCAACGAGGGCTTTGAAGACCAATGCGGAGTCTCGAGTCCAAGTATAAAAATCTGTTTGCATATCAGAATTCCGTTTTTTCAAACAAGTTCATGAAATACTAACAATCTGGATTCACTTTATCAGGTGAAGCAATCACAATCCCCGAAGCTGCTCCTGAAGCACAAGCTCCATCTGAGCCGATATTACATAAAAGATTTCTGAAAGCAATGGGACTTTCAGTGGCAATAAAAGAATCTACCGAGCGTTTTAGGATCTCGGCGCGTTGCTCAACTTTACTAGGACCAGGTAAAGCATAAATAGTTTGGAGGGCAAGACTGCCAACCAAAAGGAGGGGGGCGAATGTATGCATAATGGGTTGAACAGCTTGAAGGATCGCAGTGCTGTTGAAAGTGCTGATGGAGTTGAGAGAGGTGAGGGAGGTAAGCAAAGAAGCCATTGCTATTTATATTGGTGAGAAGGACTTTCCGTCTAGACCTAAGTCATGGATAAACGTGTGTAGGACCGAATTGTGCCTCTGGATACTAGGTGTCTTGACGCATCCGAAGTCTCCAGGGTGTTTTTTTTGATAGTATGAACGGCAGGTAGTTGAATCAAGGTAGCACTGTAGGGATAAGATGAGCTAATCAAGGGAGGACAGAATTTTGCCTTTTTGTTTGTGTAGCTGCAAGGTACGGAGGCAGTCACGATGTTGCGTGCGGTACGGAGGTAGAACCGTTTTGAGATACTTTAGGCGCAACGTTATGCCGTTCAGTATGTGAGTTTTTGAATGTGCTAAATGCTTACCATGAAGTTGAATAAATTAAATTCCCTGATTTTCTCCCCTTCTTCTTAAATGCTCAGTAACAAGCTAGGGCCTTTTTCTCAGTTCATTGGTACGCATGTAAAAGTGGCCCCTGAAAGATCGTGTCTAGATGTGATTGAATGTACCTACCAAATAGTCAATGATTAACCGTACTTAGGTAGTCTTCAGACAGACGGGATGACAACTATTTCGTTTAGTGAAAACAGCTGAAATGTGCTTGAAGATCTCAATTGATACATGCGTTAGTCTGCAATTACTAACCTGGGCAAGATGAAGTGTGTATAACTTCATATTATTTTAAACCCCGCAGTCAGCAAATACATTCTATACCTAGTAGCTACAGGTACCAAGGTACGTACTCGCTCGTAGGTATTCGCTAGTCCGGGGTCCCCACACGAGCCATTCTCTATCTAATCGGGCCGTCCCTTGTCTGCAGCCACAGCCTGAATTCAACCCCGCGCTGCGCCTGAGCACGTTTTTCTGCTTTGCATTTGATGTGCGGTACCTACCGGTATGAGTTTGGAGATTGGTTGGTAAAGATCCTCAATGCAGGTGTATACATGATCTGGAGTTGGAGTTTGTTCTTGGAGTTTGTTCCTGATCTTGTGGGCGAGCTTAACAGATGCTGAGATTAAGGAAGAGTAGATTTGTCGTACCATTGATACTTTGTACTCTGTACAATATAAGTATGCAGTTGCATTTGAGGATCCTGCGAAGATCTCCACCACTCCTTAACATGAACCAAATGGTGGCTAGAGAGATCGGGTCCTTGAACGATTTGGAAGCGGCATAGACAATTGCGGGATCGAAGGATTTTCCGCTATCCGATCGAATGACGAGCCATGACGAAAAAACACCAAGTAGAAAGGCATTCTGCAAGACAGGCTCATCTGGAAAGAAACTAGCAAGTATACCGAGGTTGAACCCCGAGAATCAAGTACTTTCTTTGATTGAGCAATGTACCTTGTAATTGATACCCGAGGCACATAGCTTTTGCGTCAATCGAGAAGACTGGCCGCTTGTCGGGTACATACTAGGTATATTATTCTGCATGCATGATTGACGGCCCAGTGCTTGAGCGAACCATGGGCCTATTGCTGTGGTCATAATACAGATCATGCAAGCTCGAGCCAACCAGGTCCAGGTCCAGGTCCAAGTCCAGCTTCCATCTTCAGGATAGAGGTTTACGACCCGGCTATGAGAATCTCGTACGCCAACACAAGAGATTGTACTCGAGGTAGGGCGGAGAACTACCACAACGGTACGTGATCCCGATGCAAGCACGGCATTGCATGGGAAGTTACATGTCACTCGATGGAAGAAAGTTTGAAATTCAATAATTGATTATGTATCGGGCCTTTTCTCTGCACAAGCAAGACTATGAAATACGTGAATGTCTACCTAATACTCAACTTGACGCGCAATACGCATGTATATCATTATATTCCATTCGAGCGGAGTAAGAACCGGACGAGGATAACGCCTCTTCTCAGTGTCCTCGCAGATATTCCACCACTCATTTGTACCCTCCAAAAGTCTCTCATAGATCTGCGCAATCGCCGTATAGAGTCAGAAGTGTCGTAGATCGTAATCAAGTGTTGCTTCATTATGTAAATTCCCCAAGATTGAAATGTAGACGAGAGGGTTATTCCGCAACCTCAAAGGCTAACAGCCTAGGCAAACAGATTTGGAATCTGACGTCTTCAGTACACTCATCCACCGAATCAGCCGAAGCGACTCAGGTTTCATAAGGACCGATCATTCTGAGATTTGTCGATCGGATATTGACATCATAAATTACCTTGGTAGGTTGATGGCTCCATAGACGATCGAACTGCCTCAGCATGCAACCTTAAACCATCGCTGACGAGCAGTTCTGGTAAAGGGACGCTGGACACAAATCTGGTGTTTTTGTGAGAAGAAAACCGAAAACTTTTTGCGCAACGAAAAACTTTTGTAGCGAATCTATGGCGCTAATTTAGCGTGGCTTTTGAATCACACTAGAATGCATTCGGTTAGAGCTAATTTATCTGTCAGCCTCACGTTCCAACTTCAACTTTATTAATATCGCGAAACTCGAAACAATTATCATCAATCAATTTCTTCGACATCTCATATCACGTTATATCAAGATGGCGGACGCTATATCTATTGAGGAGACGAATCGTATTCGAGCTTCACTGGGAATGAAGCCTTTAGCAGTGCCAGGAGCTGCAGGTCCAATTTTTAAACAGGCTCCATCTGCACCAGTAGAGGATGCTGGCAGTACTTTAGAATCGCGACAGGCTGAAGGCTATGACAATTATCGAAAACTGCAAGAAGCTGAAGAAACTAAAAGAAAAAGAGAGGCTAAAGCGGAAGCCATCAAGAGAGCGCGAGATACAGCCAAACGATTTGCGAAGCTCGAAGGCAAAGGTCTGGGAGAAGCCGATGACGATGGCGATTTGGATGCCAAGGCATGGTTGATGAAACAAAAGAAACGACAGAAGGAGATCGAAAAGGCCAGAAAGAAGGAACAGGAACTTGCCGAGGCAGAAGCTGCTGCAGCCGCCGAATATACAGCCAAAGATCTTGCAGGCGTTAGAGTCGGTCATGAACTAGATACATTTATTGAAGGAGAGGATCAGGTTCTCACATTAAAGGATACCACCATCGATGAAAACGAGGAAGAGGGAGATGAGTTAGAGAATTTAGATTTGCGCGAGCGTGAAAAGTTGTCTGACAAGCTGGAACTAAAAAAGAAGAAGCCCGTGTACAACCCGAATGACGATGATGATTCTGGTGATAGAAAGATTCTAGCCCAGTATGATGAGGAGATCGATGGCAAGAGAGGAAAGAGGTTTACTTTGGATGGTATGGGTAGCACCACTGAAGCCGCAACAGTAAATTCTGCCTCTACCTCGAAATCAAAAGCCAAAACCTTCAGCCTCGATATTTTGAGTAAGTTTTAGGATCCCAACTACTTGAAGTTCTAAACAGTACAGCCGCTAATATTTCATTTAGAAGACGATGAGCCGAAATCCGATTACCTTGATATTTCAGACATCAAGGTTAGAAAGCCCAAGAAGAAGAAAGCTAAGTCAACGCGACAAAAGGCGGTGGATGAAGACGACGTGTTTCCAGAATCTGAACCGGCTGCATCCAACGGAGATAATGCTGATGCAATGGATGTTGATCAAGGCTCCAAGCCGATTGTCAAAAAACGAACTTTCGAGGACATGTCCTTTGTTGACGATGATGATTTGCAAGCTTTACTTGCTACCCAACGAAGAAATGCACTAAAGAAACGCCAAAAGTTACGACCAGAAGATTTCGCTCAGCGGTTAAGAGATGAAGCATCAGCAACTCCAGCAGATAATGAGGAAGGTAATGATTCGGGACTAGTTATTGATGAAACCTCGGAATTTGTTGCGAACCTTCAAAAGCCAGTCGCGCCAGAGCCCAAGAAAAGATCTGTATCTCGACCAGACGCCGTTACCTCCATGGGCGCCGATTCTGATGATGATGGGGATGTCCAAATGAACGAATCGTACGCAAATATCGAGGATGATGAAGATAGACTCGCTCGGATCAAGCGTGAAGAAGAAACCAAGGATGCCATTGCGAATAATGGATTGGAAGAGGAAGCCACTCTCGAAAAGGGTTTGGGCTCTACTTTGAAACTCTTGAGAGAAAGAGGTATTCTGAAGACTTCAGAGTCTGGTGATGTGGCCACAATCTTCAGAGAGAAGCAAATGTTTCTCGCAGAAAAACAAAGACGTGAGGCAGAAGCGGAGAGAAGAGCGAAAGCTCAGAGAGAAAGAGATCGTACCACAGGTCGTTTGGATCGAATGTCTGCTCGTGATAGAGAAGAACATGCCAGACAACAGAATACAATGCGAGACCAACAAGAATCGAGGCAACTCGCTGAGCATTTTAACAAGGAATACAAGCCTAACGTGGAGCTCAAATATGTCGATGAATACGGAAGAAATATGAACCAGAAAGAGGCTTTCAAACATTTATCACATCAGTTCCATGGTAAGGGCAGCGGAAAACAAAAGACGGAGAAATTATTGAAGAAGATCGAAGATGAGAAACGAAGAGAAGCGCAGAGTTCACTAGATGGAAGTCAAATTGGTGGTATGACGGGAGCAGCAGCACAACAGTTAAAGAAGAACAGACAAGCTGGTGTGAGATTGGCTTGATCAGATCAGTTCGAGCGGGGACTGAGGATATCTATCATGGTGCAAAGGTGCAGACTCCTATATTGTACTTAGATTTTATTGCAATGCTGACAAAGTTTTTGAGAAGATACGAATCTTGTGCCCTTGGAGCACACTGTTTTGTGATAAGATGGTAAGTCTATTTGTGATGTGTACTAACTCTAGTGTTCTTTTGACGTTTACTTTGTCAGAAACGTGGTAAGTTGTGTTATATCTTGTCTCCGCCTTGATCATTATATATCGACAGAAAGGGGCTTGCTTACATTTAAGCATTTCTTTCTGGGTTCGTCCCCTCCTCTTCGTTTCCAATCAAGACCTGATCGACCCATGACGTTATTATTATGTTACGTGCTTCCTCGCTAGCGAGGGAGAGCCAAATGTCTAGTGTGAAAGTAAATTTGTCTACGTTTTTATACCATGGACTCGAATCATGATATTAACATTGCACACGAATGTTCTGTTTACATATCTTCATTTGCATTCTCACCTTCAATACTTGGACCGTCTATCTTGACGATCTATATAACAGATACGTATCATACATATACACCGATGTGCTCTGGGAATTAACAAGTGCAACATAGCGGGTAGTATTAATATCGTCTAAATAGAATTAATTATACAGACACATCAAACTGAAGTTCTGCTCAACATCCTTTTTCAATCCGTCTCAACTCGCTCTCGGTTGCGAGTGGCAGTAGGTAGGTCCTTGAAGTGGTCGTTCATTTTCCTGAATTTGTATTATGTATAGCTAGCTGTGTTTGATAAGTTTGAAGGTTTTATGATGATAGATGGGCGAATCTTGAGATTTCGGTCTTGCATGGAAAGTCTTGAGCTGGAGGGGATACGCTGGGTTGGGGGTCCGTAGGCTAGCTGGGGTCTCTTATGCTGATGTATAGGTAACTGTAACTCATCCATCTATTTCTCTCCTCGTGAAATATTCATCAGTGTTATATAGGTGTTGTTCACATGGTACATTCCTAGGTACACATACTCCAAGGTCTCTTGACCGATTCCTCACAAAGAAAAAAGCTCATGAGTCTAGATATTGGATTCTAGATACCTACCTCCATGTTTAACACGCGGCAGAGCTACTCCATCTCCTACTCGACTGTAGCATCGTAGGTCCATACAATCTATACTTCACAATTCACTTTCGGGTTTCACAATTTGCTGAATTTGTTTTTGTATCAGCTGTCTAGGAGAACAATTGGATTGGTGAGTCTAGATGTTAGATATCTGGAGATGTGGAGATGTGTAATGGAAGAGGAGAGGTGAGGACTATTGGATACGATTATGATTTGTATTAGGTAGATTCTGGGGTGAGTTGTGGATCGTAGAAGAAAAATGGGATTGGGTGGTACTGTAAATGTGATCTCAACCAGGTATGCCGTGTTACGTTTTGTGTGATTCTGTGAACGCGTTATTGTTTAGACGCTCGAGGACATGAGGCGTTGGAAGATGAAGGTCGATTCTACGATACTGGAATCTGGGGTGCGAAAGCATTTTAGACGCGCTGTTAGAAATGCAATCTCAATTGTTGAATCATTTCATGTTTTTAGTTCATTGCCTGTGAAAGCTCGCACGCTCATTATATATACGCATCATGCCATGCCAGATCAGATCATGCGCCCAATTGCATTCTTCTCCACCGCCCATCTTCCTAGGTATCATTGTAACATCCTTCTGTTCTATTCTCTTCTCTCCATGCACACCTATCCAAGTCCTAACTTTCTCCCATAAATCGACGCACTGAAGCTCTCTCCGAATGTAGATATTCACAATTAAAATGGTATCGCGTTTGAGACCTGTCCATTGATGTCCACAGGTGCTCCTAACATTCTAATGTGCGCACTATTGTTAGTCGTCATCATTTCGACGTTGGCTTGTGATAGATGGGTGATAGATGGGTGGGGGAGAACCAAGAGCTGAGAACCTACTTTTTACCCACTTCCGTAGCGCAGCAGCCGACGAAGAGCGAGGCTGGCCAGCATACTAGCTATAGTATTTGTTTTGTCAGTTGAGAGCAAACTTGTAGTGGTTGCAGTGCTGGCTGTAGCAGGGAGACTTGTAGCTCATAAACCCGTTGCTGGTGTGGAATGAGGAAGGAGAAGGGGAGGGTATTCGTCACACTCACAGCGCTGAGTACTCCAACTCCGAATCCAAGTGTGGGACCGACTATCTTAACATGACATGGGTTTTGATCGGTACCACATTGGATACAGACAAATGGAATTCCAAAGTCGCACATTTTTGGGTTAGGTTGGGTTTGGATTGGAAATTGGAGGGAAGGAAAGCGATAGGATAAGGTGTGATGATGAACTCGAGCTAAATGTGAAACCTTCAGGCAATTCTGATTCGGGAGACTGGATCAATTGATGGGTATTATCTAATATGGATGGAAAGAGATGGGAATTGTGCAGAATTCGATAGAACGTAATCAATCTGCAGGAGGAGATGAGATGAAAAGAATGGATGAGAAGATGGGAAAGAAAGATGATCAGATTTGCATTGACTAGATGGATGCTGTGTATGTTATTAGTACTTACTAGGTATAGCTGAAGGAAGATTGAGTGTCTTGGCTATTAGAGCTCTGGAAGACTTGAAAACCTTGATGAAAGTAAAAATCATCGTATTTACCTACTTATTCGCAGGTGCCTAGGAAGTAGTATGGTATGCTTAGATCAAAGAGAGGTTTGGTGAATTGCATTACTAAATTTATTATTAGCTGTTCTTAGCTGTTCTTACTGACGTAGTGATCGGCCACTCTATTTTCTGTAATGTTTTACATCAACCGGCATCAGTTCGGAAGGGGTTTCATTGGTTGAGGAGAGCACAGGGCATTAGATCGGTCTGATTCATCTATTTCGTCTGAATGTCTGGGGATGGATGTGTTTCATCTGGGGATATGTTTCAAGGTTCACAAGAGGATTTGCCTTTCTTTTTTCTGTGCTCGAGTAGGGAGAAGCGAGAGAAGTAGATAGATGGGGATTTTCAATGAGAATGTGATCATGGGATAGAATTCAAGTCAACTATGAACATTTGTGAAGAAGATTACTATTACCCCAGCGTGACTATCTAGATACTATGCGGTAGGTAGGTATATACCGAGTAGCTAGTATGTAGTCCACAGGATGCAATTCCAAGGTTGGGGGACAACTAAGAGATGGATAAGAGGTGATGATCTGTTTTGCTGATAGGTAGATTGATATCTACTCGAGTACTCTGTACTATCTAGGGACCTAGGGACCTAGGGACCTACCTACCTTGAGTTGGTAAGTAGAATGAAATTTGGAGTCATCTATCAAAGAATGGGTGGACATTTAGAAACATTCGCAGCCATTTTGTCCAATTGCCCATGCATGATCAACAGAGAGTGTGTTGGTGATTCGAACATACGGACGACGGAGGTAAGTGTACACGGTACATTCTCTTTCTCTTTCTCCTCCAAAAGTGGAGTGTGAGTGAAATGGTTCGAGGGAAAATTGAAGACTGGGTACTGGTTAGATACTGCTTAGATACTGCTTAGATAGACCTCGATAACTTGTAAATTTGATAGATACCCACCTACTAGACCTGTAGAAAGGTCATTAACTTTTACCTACAGCCAATCAAGTAGCGCTATTCGATAAACTTTACCTAATCATTACAGTCACGTGATCTTATCCGGACCCTCTATCGAAAAATAAATCCCGATGTACTCCCCTTCCTTCCTTTCCGCATCAATTCTGACGTCGAAAATCGACATCTTCGCAACCCTCGCAACCTGCGAATCATTCGCAACCATACCGCAACGACACACCACCTGCATGACATATCGCTTTCACACTTCACATTAAGAAGGTGAACGAGTTGTTTTTAGCAGCGATGACTTCATCACAGATGGCAGAGGCCGTTCCTCAACCTGTCGCGCCCGTTGCATTAATGTCTACAGGCATTCACTTCGACCCTGATCATATCGAAATGTTCACATACCCCAAACCTTCTCACGATAATAACAGCCCCGTCTTTGCGGAACAAACCAAGTCTGTTGCCGCTGCAATGGATACAACTCTTCCTTCGAATTCAGCCCAACCATCGACAACAAGTCTCCTTCCCGAGATCAAAAATGCAAGCATTTCAGCAGAGGCACTCAATACTACGAATGAAATGGGAAATACAGGATCGGAAAACCATACTGAGAACAACATTTCCGCACAGCCCAAAGTGCCAATCGATTCCGCAATGGAGATGTGCAATGCGACAATCAAACAGGAGTCGCATGAGAAAGAGGCCAACGATACCAACCCCGAAATTTTTGGACAGGCTGGTCCGGAATCAACAGTTCAACCCACTCAGGAACAACTACCATCGTCAAATATTGGACCCCTTGCCTCATTTCCTCCTTATAACACGACAAATGCACTTGTAGACCCTGCGAATATATATGGAGCAGATATGAATTTAGATGGCAATGTATGGGCTTACGACCAAACTATGGACTTTCCAAACGTCGCGTCCAATCCAGACTTTTATAATCGACAACCTTTGATAGACCCGGGAGTGCAGTTGGATGGTTATGCAAAGCTGGCTTTTGATGATTCGGACTTTTATATGACCACACATGAATTGATCATTGGTCGTGATCAAAATGGGTATAACAATATGAGAAGATATGAGAAGGAACATGAGGCAATGAATACATCAGAATTCTCCTCGTTTAAACCAACCATGCAGATCGAAAGTCATACTGGTGGTATCATGGATCCTTGGGTCAAATTGGCAGACAGGCGAAGTCGCAAGGGGAAGAAGAATAAGGGCTCAAGGTCTATCAGTGGCAACAGTGCTACTGCTGGGTCACTTTTGCCTCCTGCAAATGGAAACATGTCACTTCAAAACCCCGATCCGCATAGTTGTCCTGTCCTCCATGTACATCCTCCATTCAACAAAGGTGTAGCGGGCTTCAAAGCTATATCCAGAGAACACGTTAAAATATTTTATGATGACCATCAAGATAGTTTCAAAGTAGAATTCCTTGGTAGAAATGGAGGTTTCGTGGACGACATATACTTCGAGCCCAAGCAGATAGCACCATTAGTAAGTGGTAGCAAATTGCAAATGGGTTTTGTTTTCTTTAGATTTCTGTTACCAGATGTCGTGATCGATGACACAGGGTTCCAGTACCATGAAGAACCCGAAGAGGAGGCGACGGCTACTGCGACAACAACTTATTCGGAAGGAGGGAAAGAGATGAGTCTTAGTTTTGATGATGCACCACGAGCTGGTGATCAGAGGTCTACCGATAGCGAATGCTCTTCAGATAACGAAAACGATTTCGGGGTGGACGAAATTCCTGATAACGAAGTGGACAGAGTGGAGGATCTCGATCCTTTGTACCCCTTAGGAGTAGCAATTGACGAAGAACAAGACGCCGAGGAAGCAGAATCCCCTGTTGACAACTTAACGGACAGTAGCCCACAACCTACAAAGAAACGCGGACCAGGACGTCCGCCTAAGAATGGTGTTATGTCCAAACGGGAACAACAAATTGCCAAGAAGGAAGCCCTGGAGAGAGAGAGAATTCAAGAAGAAGAACGGGCTCAAGAAGAGCAGAGAGTTGAAGAACAGAATCAAGCTACAGCCTCAAAAACTGTACCTGGTAAAAACAAAGTTGGTAGACCAAGAAAGCATCCACGACCAGATGTTACGGAAGAAGGACCACCACGACAAAAACGCAAATATACCAAGAGACAATCGGGCCCCAAGACCCCTGAGGAGGCTGATGAGGACAGATTTGATGACGATGGCAATTGCATACAAGCCAAGAATGGAAGCTCCAGAAAAGTCGCTTACGTTTTGAAAGAAGTTACACACAGAAGGGAGGACTATACCGCGGATCAACTTTCAAGGCCACCAAAGAATTATCTTCAGGTCATTTTCGAGCTTCTAAAGGAAGCAGAACAGCCTTTGTGTCTTCCACAAATCTATAACGAGATGGAGGTCCAGTATCCGTATTACGCCTTTCAAGAATCAAAGGGGTGGCAAAGCAGTGTGAGGCATAACTTAGGACAGCATGAATGTTTTGAGCGTACTAAACGTGCTGGTAAAGGCTGGGCTTGGACTCTGAAACCCGGTTCCAGTTATCTAAAGGAGAAGAAGAAGAGAGCACCCTCACCTCCAGTTGCAGGTGGAAATCAACCAATATATCAAGCTGGCCCACCAGTTTCTGGCTACGGTCAGCCTCCGCCTGGATATATGTTGAATCCCAATTTATATCATAATCAGATGAATCCACATGCACAAGGAGAGTATCAGCAATACCAGCCAGGCCAGCCGTACATGGGCCCAAATCCTCACTATTCTCCTTATCCTCCTCAGGGTTATCATCCACCTCAAGGTATTCAGCCACCTTTCATCCCTCCAATGGCACCTCAATTGGTACCTTCTGCGCCTGCTTCTTATAGCTCCCCTTATGCTCCGAAGCCACCTGCTGCTGGAACACAATCTCAAAGCACTCAACAGCAACCTCCACAGCAAAATTCGCAACAACAACCTCAACAACAGCAGTCTCAACAACAACAGCCTCAACAGCAACAGGCCCAACAGCAACAGCCTCAACAGCAACAGCATTCACATCAACAGCAACAGCATCCGCATCCTCAGCATTCACAGCATCAACACCCATATCCACAGCCTCAACAGCCTCACTATCAACCACCGCAGCCACCGAAAACGAACCAAGCACCAGTGCAGTCACAGCAATCGCAACCACCAACTGGCCACCAAACCCAGACAGCTGCTCATGCTGCACCACAAGTTACGCACGGAGCTTTACCAGCCGCAACTCCTCAAAAAAGAGTCATTCCTCCTAACCTGGTCGCTGCAATAACCGCATATCGTAACCATGTTGCCAACTTGATCCGAAAACGAGCTCCAAATGATGCTGAGGCAATTGTTGACAAGGCCATAAATCGAGTCTATGATGGTACCGAAGAAGATCGTTCTCTTGATAGCACTGAACATGAGATGAAACTTATCAATGGTGTTCTCAACATTCTCAAGTTGCCCCCTGTTCCTCGTGCACCTCCTGCCAACCAAAACCATGCTCAACCACAACCTGCTGTACCGCAACAGGTTCCCCAGCCGCCGATTAATCAGAACAAGCCTCAAGGCAACATACCTCAACAACCTGGAAAACCTATTGGAGCAGACCTTCCAAAACAAACGATCATGCGACCATCGTTTTTTGGAACCCATCAAAATCAATCCAGT